AACCACTCAGGCAACAGCCAGGCAATACTAGAGGAATACAAACACTCTAAACTCTCTAAACACAATAGTACGCAACCAACAGCGAGGCGAACTGATCTCTGGTTCACAGCCGCTCTGAACTGTGGACACACAAGTTATTTAAGTGCAGCTTGGGTTGATTGAAGACTGCTGATTGGTAGGTTCAGTCAAATCACAGCCACACCAATCACAGATGCCAGGGAACAGCAACCAGGAAGTAGGCGGTCTCAGCTCAAGAAGGACCAATCCTCGACAGGGGATCACGGCTGAATTGGCATACCCGGCAGGATCACTCATGGAAACAAATAAATACACACTAAAGGGCAGCCAGTGTCGGCCGTAACACTCCCCCCCTTAAATTACAAGCCCTTGCGGCTTTACGTTAAAGTTACATACATAACACATAGCTAAACTCTACAGCCTAGACAAAGCATCAGATAATATATTTACAAGGTTCAGAACCCTTTTTATGTCGGATGTCAAGGTTGAAGTCTTGTACCAACAGTGCCCACCGCATGAGTCGTTGGTTGTGATTAAACATGCGGGACAGAAAAACAAGGGGATTATGATCAGTGAACACCACAACAGGTAGAGAAGTAGACCCAACATAGACCTCAAGGTGCTGTAGTGCTAACAACAGAGCAAGGAGGGCAGCACACATAAGTTAACAAATACTGAATTCCACTTTTAGTTCGATGTAGAGGACCAACACAGTTGATAATCACCCGCTCGAATGGCTCTGCTATCACAGGAATGGGATGTAATGGCGCAGGAGGGACAATCTGGCTAGGTTTCCCGACAACCTGACACACATGGCAAGCACGGCAATGTTTAGAAATGTCAGACTTTAGACCTGGGGGGTATTGCACAAAAGCAGAATAAAGAAATCCAGGATAATTGAGCAAGCGCGGCTTGACCTAGCCTGCTCGGCGCATCCTGACTTAATCGGTTGCACGTTTGCCGAGCCAGGATGAAAAGGCGCGGCTATGTTAAGCCAGGTGTAGATAGTCAGGATAAGTGCGTGTTCACGGCATACTGAACTAGACCTCGCGATCGCTCACAGAATCACTGATGGGAACATGGATAAGAGTCGCGCTTCATATTTCACGGCCGCTGAACAACAGCTCCTGATGGAGTTCTATGAAGAGGTGAAAGATATAAGAAAAAAAGGCAATACCAATGCCATAATTAAAGAAAGAGAGAAAGCCTGGCAGACAATAGCGGACCGACTTAATGCTTAAGTAGTCCAAAACTGTACAATTAATAAACAGTGCTCCACTGGAACTGTCATCACTAGGCTACAATTAAAGGACCAAAGGAGTTACTTTAAGTCCACTAATCAACTGTTGTACACTTTGCTTTAAATGTGGCAAGTAGAGGTGCATGTTACTTAAATGTAGAGTATGATTAAGTGCAAACAATTATCCACAATGTGTGTCATTTAATCTATTTTTATCTATTTTATCTTTCTATCCATCATAAAGAACAAACTTGTCTGGCCATAAAAGGACCTGGCAGCAAGTTAAAATTAAATACAAGAACATTTTGCAGGCTGGTAAGTGACTCTAAAGTAGATAACAGTGAACAAATGAGGTGAATAGATTAGGTGTCTGCTGACATGTTAAATGTCTGCATGATTGTAGCAGTTTAAAAAAAAGCCCATAGAACTGGCACAGGGGGCAGCCCACCAAGCTAGGATATGTGAGGCAAATGGTTCCTTTATTGAGGTTCTCTGCATCCCCAACAGAATAAAGGCATCTCCCACTTGCAAAACATGCATGGCTTCGTGCCATCTGGTGCTGTATTTTTGGACCCAGCAGCCTACATAAATATCTTAGTCCATCACCTGAGAATCTGTATCTCTCAATGAGATAGTCATCTCCAACGGCCAATGGGTCTGCCAATGGGTCTATATATATATATATATATATATATATATATATATATATAGTCTAAATGGCATGCTGTTTAGGAAATTAATCTTTGAATATATGGAATGAAGCTTGGATATACTGATAGAAATGTGAGAATACTGAATGAAATTCAAAACCTAGTTGTATCCTTTTCATCAAAGTGATAGCCTTCTGGATTAGCTGGTTTTACAAAATGGTAACAGTTGAAATATTACAATACTTTCTGGAACTGGAAGACTTTTTTGCTTTTTCTGTCAGGATTTTGCCTGAGGCCTGTTGTAGCCGGCCTGCCACGATTAAAAAGGGAGTGAACTTCTTCATCAGGAGAATAGTATTGGGCACGGGTACTATGGGAAGGATTTTGGCCCGTACAAGCAATGAGTTAATAATGTCCTCATTGCTCAGTATTGCTGCCACAAGGTTCCTGACTGACTCATTCTCACTTCTACAAGATGGCAGCAGTGCCTTGATGACCAGTCAAGTTTCATTCAATATATTAAAAGATTAATTCAATATATTAAAAGATTCATTCCATATATTCAAAGATTCATTCAATATATTAAAAGATTAATTTCCTAAACGGCATGCCATAATATATATACACTATATTGCCCTTGTCACAGATTTCATTGAAAACACCTTTGCAACTTCATCAGCTGTGTTTTGTAATCTCAATTACTGCAATAAACAAATATTTATGCATTTTGACAAGCAGTCTTCATTAGCATAGCAATATAACACTTGGCCTGAGTAATAATACTACCACTTGAATCAATATAAAAAGACTGTTGCAATTACAAACAGCCAACAGATTTAAATGAAATGAGAAATGAGAATATATATATATAATATTTTAATGCAGGATAATTAAAATAATGCAACATACTTAGAAAGACCATGGACATGCTGTAAAACACATTAATTCCTCACAGGATTGACGGTGGAAATACAGGTGAATCACTAGGGTTAATCTTAGCCTGGCTGTTAGCCTGGTCTGGAGCAGGCTAGCTGCAGAGAATAAATCACCATAGTAACTTGGCCGGGATAAGACTTGAGGCTAAATTAAGCCAGGATAACCAACATATCCCGGCTTAATCCCTTATCTTGGTTTTGTGCAATACCCCTCTGGCCAATGTCGGAGGATGGCTTGATATGTTTTGGTTATGCCCAAATGTCCTGCCCACTTACTCTCATGAGCCACTGACATCACATGCTGGCGGCATCCTGCAGGAACAACTATCTGGTAAACAGAATCACAATCAGAATCACCAGTTACGCTCTCGACTGACTGGAAATGCCGCACCTCCAGCTAACAGCAGTTCCGGGCCAGGCGAGGGCGTTTCCTCAGCAGTCTCATCCTGAACAGGCAATAAGAAACACTCAGCCTCTTCCTTCTCCTCTTTGTCACCTGAAAAAACTGACATAAATAAACTGTCAGACAACGAAACTTCACGATCATCTGGGCTAATTTCATGGGAGCGAGAGAGAGTTACAGCGCAGGCTGGAAATACATTCGAGGGTGTCTGATCTGATGTCCGAATCCCATCACACTGGGGTTGATCTAGGACTTCTAGTCGTTCCCCATCAGGAGTACGATACCGGGGATTGGCAGTTCAGGACAAACCGCTACTGGGAAGAATCCAGTAACAAGGGAGGACTTAATATGGACGCGGTGCACTGGCCGTGGCACATAACCCATTTCAACTCCTCTAAGAACTGAACTGTAATGACAAGCAGAGTTATCAGAAAAAGGCAGAGCTGACGCCAGAATAACAGATTGAGAGAACCCAGTATCTCGCAAAGCCTGTATGGAGTGTCTATCAGCTGACTCACCAGTCAGTGACACAAAGGCATCAAATACGAATGGCTTAAAACAGTCATCGATTTTCTGGTCAGATGAGTTAGTGTTCACACCACAATCTGCTTTAAACAGTCCTCAGCTCTTTGCGTTTTAGTGTCAAACAATTTGCAATGACATGGCCGACCTGGTGGCAGTAATAACATTCCCTTTCCTCTTTCGGCCCACGTGGATTAGAGGATCTGGGAGGAGAGGAGGAACGTGAGACAGCAGAGACTGGAGAAAAAGCTGATTTATGGGTTAACACATGCTCATCAGCCAGCACAGCGGCAGCAGAAAGTGTACCTACTTTCTGTTTAATCAGGTACACAACAATACGTTCAGACAAACACGTCTTAAAGTCCTCTAACAGGATCAGCTCTCTCAATGCATTGAAATCACTAACTTTACATGTTGCACACCATTTATCAAACAGAGTTCCCTTCTCATGGGCAAACTCAACATAGGTCCGAGCAGAAGTTTTCTTGTGACCTCGAAACTTCTGTCAGTATGCTTCAGGCACAAGTTCATATGCTCGTAAGATAGCCGTCTTAGCAGTTTCATAATCTAAGCTATCTTCAACAGGGAGTGCAGCCATAGCATCCTGAGCTTTACCATGCATTTTACACTGAAGCAGAAGCGTCCATACTTCTGGTGGCCATTGTAAAGCAACAGCTATCCTCTCAAACACATTGAAATAGGAGTCAACTTCATTATCCCAAAATACAGGTACTAAAGCCACATGCTTACTAATGTCAAACACTATTTTAGGTGAACTGGTGGAGGTGGTGGAAGGTGGTGACATACCTGAGCCTCTAGTAGCATTCCGCCCCGTGTCAGAAGCCTCAAGCTCGAGTTGTCTCAGTCTCACTGCCCTCTCAGTCTCAGCCTGAAGTTCAGCTTTTCTTATTTCCAACTGGAGCTGGAGCTTGGACTGAGTCTCCTGTCATGAGATTCCAGTTGCAACCGAGCCAGCCAACTTTAAGCCGTGCTTCAGTATTGCCAGTACTGCTCTGTGGGGAAAGATCATACTTAGGCAGAGTAAATGGGGTCTTCCCTCGCTTACCTGCCTGGTAGACTTTCCCAGAGTCTGAGGGTGTCTCAGTACTTGGACCACTCTCTGCTTCTGCTGAGGAACTGGGAAGAGACACAGACTCCAACTGCTCAGTCAAAGTAATCACACCCTGTTCCACCAATCCACTAATCACTCGTTCTCTAATTTCTTTTTTAAGCATGGACCTGACAAAGGGAATATTGAAGTGAGTAGCTATCTCCACTAAATCATCCTTCCTACAACTATGTACTTGTTCAACAGTAGGATGTTCTACAAATGTATCCAAATTAAACTTTTCTGCCATGGTGCTCAGTAGCCAGCAGCACTCACTCAAGCAGACAGCTGAATCCACTAATGAGCTCACTTAACTTACCTAGTAGTCAAAGGAGCTCAGCAAACTCTCACCAATTAATTAAACAGCTGAATTGGGGATCACAGCTGAATTGGCATACCCGGCAGGATCACTCATGGAAACAAATAATAAATACACACTAAAGGGCAGCCAGTGTCAGCCGTAACAACATGCAACTAGTGTTCAGTTAGTTGCAGTCTGCAACTTCACCACTAGATGCCACCAAATACTTCAAACTGGTCCTATAAAATATGAAAGAAAAATACTTTCTTTGTTGCCATGGGTCTTATGTTTGCATTTGTGACCTTCTAAAAAACATGTGGTTTAGTTTTATCAGATTGATAACTATAATATCAAAGGACTATGCTCTTAAATAAAGTATTATAAAGGCAAATTTACTTTATTAACCAAAATGTCTTCTCTTAACACTCTCATTAAAGCTTTACCAACCCAAAGGATGACATACTAACATTTCCTTGTATTATTTCTAGAAAGACGTCCTGTTCCAGTCGACCTGTAACCTGTGCCGAGAGAGTCACAAAACTCAGGTCTGGCTTTGTTTCTTAATTCTGAGGTAGGCATACAGTGTTTGTCAAAAAGTTACATGTTGGTTATCATAAATATTGGATATCATAAGTCAGATATTATATGTTATTCATGAGAGAAAATATTAGCAACAAAGGATACTTTTTGTTTATAGTTTTGTGAAGTGAAAAAAGGGTCTGAATGAGAAAACAATCATCTACAAATTAATTTACTGTTGAGAAAAGTATCTGCAAGATACAACTTGAAGCTGAGTCATTTGCATAATGTAACAGTGGGTCAGTAAAATACACACTAGTTTTTAAACATCTGTCTGCTTTCATAGCCACTGTTGCAAGAACTCAAAACATCAAAAAGATGTCATTCTTATAAATAAAATGCATTGTATCTCTTCACTCTCTTAAAGCTTCTTGAGTCCATTTACGTGTGCTGCTTCTGTGCCTGATGTAACAGAGGTAAAGATTTGCTTGAACAGGCTGAAACCCGCCATTGAGGTGAGAGAAGGTATCAAATAAAATAAAATTTTGATTATGTTCATCTTTAACACTCATACGAATACCTTTATTTGTACATGTTCAATGTTCCATATAAATATACATAGGAAGAAAATATAAAATATAAACATGGAATATAAATAAAATATTGTGTTTTATACTGTAGAAACCTTCATATTTTTATATTCACTGATACTTTGTTGACTTCTACACATGTAGTGGATAGTTTATTTTTTACTTAAAGGTCCAGTGTGTAACATTTAGTAGGATCTATTGGCAGAAATGGAAGATAATATTCATAGGTATGTTTTCATTTGTGTGTAATGACCTGATTATAGGAATCGTTACATTGTTTGAGAATGAGCTCATTATATCTACAGGCGTCCGTCATGGAGTCCGCCATGCTTCTACAGTAGCCCAGAACAGACAAACCAAATACTGGCTCTAGATAGGGGAGGTTTTTTCACGCATTTCACAACCACCGTAGTTTATCCTTTGTGCTTAGAACGGTAGAGTGAAGTGAGGGAGTTGCGATCTGCAATTATACCGCTAGATGCGACTAAATCCTACACTGGACCTTTTAATATTTGATTCAATTATTAAAAACTATAATTTGTCTCATTTTATTTTCAGAAATCTGACGCTATGCTGTATGCTCCATCAGGTGATGACATTAAAGTAAGTTAAGTACATGTTGAAATGTGCGTTTTGAGTTACTTACTGTTACATTTATAGAAGACGGCACAAGAAGTCACTTTGTATGTATTATGTATAGAAGACTGCACTAATGTTTACATTTCAACTGCACTATATATACTGCACTACTTGCAGAACTCTGCACTGCAATGTTCAGTATATATCAGTTATATATTTTTTATAGGTGTCAGGAAATAGACGCTTTATTTATTATATATTTGATTTATTTTTCTCTAATTTAGATTTTTGATTGCTGTTTGTTGTGTGACTGCCACACAGTTTTGTTGTACCATATGCAATGACAGTAAAGGAATTATATTCTTTTCTATCTTGATTTGTGAACATGATCAAGTTGCTGCCTTTAAGCTGTTAAAGGTCCAGTTTGTAGGATTTAGTGACATCTGGTACAGTTTGAGATTGCAACTCGCTCGCTTCACCCACCCCTTCCAAGCGTGAAGGAGAAACAACAGTGAATGTGAATCATGTGAAAAACGTAAACACCCCTATCAAGAACCAGTAGCATGGCAAACTCCATGGAAGGCATCCCAACAAATAAAAACATACCTATAAATATTATATTCCATTTCTCCTTATAGATCCTCCTAAATGTTTCACACTGGACCTTTAATACTTGCATAATGAACGCCATGACAGCTACAAATTACTACAATGTAATTAATCTGTAAATGTATGTGACCATACAGAACTTCTCTCTCTCTCTCTCTCCTAGGAGAGCTGTAAAATCACGTCGCTCAGATGTTACATGTTGGAGTTGATAATGGTCGCCGGTGAAGAAGAAATTATGAATAATGATACAGAATGCATCATGGATTTCAATGACACACTGCCTACAGTTGAATCTGTAAGTCCTGTTTATATGGTTGTAAATATCCTCATAAATCAATGCTGGTACTTTTTTCAATGCAATCTACTACAGTACACAAATCTAGTGTCATAATAGCTTTTTATTTCTTTACTTTAAAAAATATGTATTTTATTGATGTTTAAATATGTGTTATTGTGTCTCTTTTGAATCTTAGGTTGTCTGTCCACCATGCGAAGCATACTCACTTGAAAATATTACAATATTCCTGGAAAGACTAAATACACTTTTGGAAAACATGGCTACATTGGCGAACACGTAATATGGTGTAAATATTATAAGCTAAGAATGTGTATTTGTATATATTTGTAAAGAATTATGGCTCTTGTGATTTTTATTTTTTAAATATTACATTGTAACTGTGTAAACCTGTGACAAACCATGCCGTCCTGTATTTTATAATATAGACATACCACACTAAATTTGATGTGTAATATAACAGTTTAAATGTATAGGATGAAAGTACATCTTATTGTCTGTACAGAATAAGTCTCTCCGTCACTGTGTATCACAATCTGCCTTTCCGTTGTACAGTTTTAAAAAAAGTATAAGGAAGTACCGTAAAAAGGCATCATGTACTGTATATACAGAATGTATATTATTAACCTCACTGCTAAACACTATTGAATGTAATACCTATTATACAGTATCCAGTATCTTGAGAATAGTTGTTATACTCCAGTAAATAATATCCCAACTGTATAGTCTTTCATTTTATTTCTCTTATCTTTAAGTTTACCGTACCATTTAGAACTCTGTAAAGTTAGTGCTACTAGAGGTAAAAAACTCCATAGGTTACTTTTAAGTAAGTGAAAAAAAGAAGAGAACATTATGATCTTCCTGTGCTCTTCATTGGTCTCATCATATGATCCTCTGTGTGGAATTTGACACTGGAGAGCTGAAATGGAAGAATGACAAAACCACTTTATAAATTACCTTAAAGTAAGTCCATGAGGAGTAGCAGGTAAGTTATAAGGAATAAGCCAGAAATGATGGTAGCCTGCTGTTACTAGCTGCTCATACAAATGTATTCTCAGGTAATCCATTTTTGTGGAGACTGTGCCTTACAAAGAGTAAGTTGATTCCTTGCAACAGGTGTTAATAATGATGGCTCTGTGTCAGGTCAGATTTTCTATTTCTGTTAATGTGCATCTACCAGGTTGGAAGCATTCTCCTGTATCGCAATAGTGATCTAGATGACTCATGGGAAAATGGTGATAATGATCGAGGTGTGGATTCGTCTTTGATTTAGGGGAAGACTTTTCAATAGCCTCTGTCACATCAGATTAATGTGGCAACAATTTGCTGTAATGAGGACAATGAGGGTGCTGAAAATCTTTTTCTATGTTCTAAATGTGTGTTCATGGGTGTCTTGTGTTGTAACTAGATACAGACAGAGACAGAGCTTAGTCAATGAGTTGTGTTAGCCTGGTGAGCAAACTGTCAGTATCACCACCTCATAAGTGGTTTCTTTAATCATTTACTAGTTGGGGGGGGATTATTTGAACATACTGAGAAAACAAATCAATGGCAAAGAACTGAGACTTCAGGAGTGGTTTGAAAAGTTTTTTTATTTTTTATGTTTTGATGCATTTTAAAGGTCCAGTGTGTATTCATAGGTATGTTTTCGTTAGTATATAATCACCTGACAATAAGAATTGTTGTGTTTACGTTCCCTTAGAATGAACCGTTTTTATCTACTGACGCTGCAGGACCTCTTATACCAAAGCTGCCATGTTGAAACACCATGTTTCTACAGTAGCTTAGAACTGACAAAACAAACAATGGCTCTAGATTTTTGAGTGTCACGGCCACTGTAGTTTCTCCTACACCCTTGGAAGGCTGAGCTGTATTCGAATAGTTGCAATCTGCAACTTCACTGCTAGATCCCACTAAATCCAAAACACTAATCCTTAAAACATTTTTTTATTGCGGTGCCCGTTGGAATCCAACATTCCTGCTGTGAATCGAAGGTGACAATAGATGCTGTTCACCATGAAAGAGCAAGTGACACATTTTTCAGGGCCTCCTTTTAAGACTACAGTCTGTAAGTAGTCTCTCTGAGTGCTTTACTTGGAAGTTGTTTTGACCTGAATATATTTAATGTTTTTAATACAACGCCTGTATTCAATTATGACTCATTTAACTGTAGTAGTTCAATTGTTCAATTAAATGCACAACTATGGAATTCAGTGTTAACAGTATGCAAAACATACATACATATAGCATTATACAATCACAAATATCCACATTAAACCATTATTTTATTTTATTATTATTCATTTATTTATATTTATTCAAATAGCCAGTTGTAAATAAGTCTATGACACAACAAATACATTTCAAACATGCATTTAAGTCCAAGGTATCAACCCTTAGAAAATAAAATAATCTTTGAATATAAAAATAAATAATGCAATTTCTTATATAGCATTCAGAAATGATGGTCCAATAGCCTCATCTTGTTCCAACACCCACCTATACTTCATGTGGTTACACTGGCTGTACCTTGAGATATAAAAAGGGAAAAAAGCTCAGGTGCAACCATTACGAGAATGGGATGAGTTATCAAAATAAGCTTTAAAATACTGGTATGTAACTTACATCCATGAGGACAGTTCAGTCAAAATTAATGAGACTACACATCTGCAACAGTCAAAAACAGTATAAGGAAAGTTTGGACCAGGATATGTGATACCATAATAATGTACAGATCAAATGCTCATGAACTGCACAAAATGATGAACTCCTAGAAGCAGGAGGGAACTTTTGGGTATGAATCTTCATCTTGTACAGCTCTGTATATCCAAACATGTAATGAGACTATAAACTGTTTGTTTCTAAAGCATTGGGAAGACCACAAAAAACACTGTGGCACAGAAGTTTATCCAATGTATTTTCCCACTCTTCAGCACTGCTTAAGCCATGAAAAAGGCAAATATAGAAAGTGCATTAACTTGACAAATAACACATTTGGCAAATCCAGCTTGGGATACAATAAACACATACACTGCCCCCTTACATAACAGAGTAACCAAAAACTAAACAAAGAATTGTCTTAAAAAGAAAGAAACATTTTACATCCTCACTATTTTGTCAAAGCTCTCATATTTACTACTTACACACAATGACTTTTTTGATAGTACATTACTTGTGTCCTCAAGAGTCAACTTTGCCGTAAGTCCCCTCTGGTGGTCGGTAGCACTTGGGGAAGGCCATCAGCTGCAAGATGTTGAAGGCATATTTCCTGCATCTAATATTCTTTTGAACGTTCTCAATCCGACATCCTTCTCTGGTGATCAAATAAAGAGGGTGAAGAGGAATGAGGGAAGAAAAGAAAGGAAAACAAAAAAAGGAAGCATGAATGAGTTTCTGAATTATGTGAGAAGCCTTTAAAACCGGCTTCTCACCAAAAATACAAGTGAATTCTCTCTAAACAAAATGACTTGCCAAAATACTAATTTGTGTTCTTACTGAATAAAATAATTGATTGTTTAATTTGAACAGCTAGGTTGATAACATGCTGAAATGCTGAAAAATAAAATTGCATTCAGTTTTATTTCAGTAGAAGTATGAAGGTGTTAGGATCAAAATATACTTAAAGTACCAAAAAAGTACTCATTATGCAGAATATAATAATATATATTATATTATTGTATTATAATTATTGATGTGTTTATCACTTTAATGTTGCAGCTGGTAAAGGTGGAGCTCATTTTAACTACTTTATATACCGCTGGGAAGCTCAGTCTATAATAATATATCATAATTTATTAGTTGATTTATATTTTGTATTAATCTAAATCTGCAAAGTAACTAGTAACTAAAGTTGTAAAATAACTGTAGTGGAGTAAAAACTATATTTTCCTCTGAGTTGTGGTAGAGTCGAATTATGAAATAACAGAAAATGGAAACAGTCAAGTAAAGTACCTCACAATTGTACTGAAGGGCATAGTTTTTGTGGGGTTAAATGTACGGTGAATTACGCTATAGATCAGCTGTTTGGATTGGACTCACATTTATGCAAGAAAAAACCAACATAAGAAAATAGAAATGAGGGATTATGACAGAGATGAGGAAATGCTGTTTACCTTGGAGAACCAGAGTATAAGAACTTTTGCAGATGGATACTGAACGGGCTGAGGAAACATAGTACCAAAGGAAGAGCTATTTGATGTGAAAGTAAAGCGGTGAAAATGTTCCTAACACAGTGCACCCTGTATTACCTTCACCTTGCCATCACCAGGACAGACCTCTTAATTAGCCAAAATAAACTGTTCTATTCCAACACCCAGTGGAACAGTTCCTGTTCGAGCATCTTGTAATTTTTAAAATCTAAAAATATTCACATTTTGATTTAAAATTAGAACACTTTGGTATTATAATGAGAGGAACGGCCTTCAATGCCAATCACAAACCTTTCAAATCTTTCAGCCAAGACCTGGCTTTTTTATTCAGGTTTAAGTACCTTAAAGTGCCTTGATCCTTGTTTTATGAAATCCTTTGGGCTGATTTTAGAAATAACTTAGTGTTGATCAAAATGCAATCCAACACAAAACCTCCACCACAACTATGATCAAATGCCTAAGGCATGAATCAGCTCATCTGAGACTCAGTCCTAACAAATAAGAAACAAATGTCACAGATTATGGTTTTTGCTGTAGGTCCGTACTGTCTTTATTGGATTACACTGTGTTAAAGCATTAAAACAGCCTATAAAAGAACACAGGGTAAAGTAGTTAGATGTAGGACCACCTGAATTTTGGGATGCCATTGCATTTGATTGGACTGTGAGATGTTTTTGCCAAGTTGGAACTGGCAATACATACAGTAACAGGACTTGTTCTTTCACTCAAATCATCAACCAAGGTATACAGTTGTCCATTCATTACTGGTAAAAGTGGAACACTTTGAAAGTTACTGAAATATGTTTGTATAGGATAGTGGAAATCTCAGTGGTGGGGGTTTAGAAATATTAAATATGTTTCTATGTGGGAGTGGAATATTTACTTTCATCCTTAATTTATTTACTGGGTTTTCTGGATCAGAGCTACACAAGGTTCTTTGTATTTTACTTTTACTTTGCATGTGCTGACACAAAAGACTGGGTTTAAAAACAAATCCAGACATGCAAGTTGCTGAAGTTGACTACTCAATACAATAATGTTGCAAAATGAGCTAAAAGCTAATCTTAGTTTGACTGCATGATGTATCTTGCTAGTTATAATTAGCACGTTCAGCAGTTTTAAGTGTCCCCTGGAAACATTTGCTGTTGTGTACAATTTGCAGCATAGGTATGTGAAAATCTGAAAAGAGCTACAATCACACTGCTATACTGAGCACACCATAGTAAATAAGTTGTGACTTTTAACAGTTAAGAGTTAGAGACAGAGAGACAGAAAAAAGAATTGCAAAAGAAGACAGTGTGGGATTGTCCCCTGAAACAGCAAAGTTGGAAAGAAGGAAAAGCTCTGAAGGCCTACATACCTATTGTTTGGTGTAAATAAAATGAGCTCTGTCAGAACAGTGCTAAATACCAAAGTGGTTAATTCCTTCTCAATTAATAATACAATTGCTGTTTTAGGCACACTGAAATGTGCATCTCAGCTGTATTTCAGAAAATGAGTTGTGATATGTTTCCGCAAAACCCATGAACCCTTTACTAATGGACCATATAGTGCCATACGCGTAATCCAGATCTAAACGTGTGTACTGTACATGTTTTACGTGCCACTGCAAAAAGATCTTTAAAAAACGAATCAGTTTCACAGATAACTTCTGCTAGTTAACTCCACATTTTATGTACAGCATCGACTGTTTTATATGATGCTAGATGTTAAAGGATAAGGCTGGCAATATTCTATATAATTCTCAGCAAATCATATGAAAAGAGCGAAAGGAACAATGAACTGATCCTAATAACATATTTTTTATTATATATATATATATATTATATATTTTTTGTGTATTTGAATTATAGCTTACTTTTCTGTGCCACACTATTGCACTGGGTGACACGATATTTGATTATGATGAACATGTAGATTGAGGTTGATAGAAAGCCACTCGCACTAAATTAGTAAGGATAGCCAACGTTTTTTTTCTCCTTCTGTCCATCTTTTTGTGCCAATTACATTGATAAATTACTTATTGGCTTTTTGTTCACTGGATTTTTGTTGGACTTGCAGTGGCATGTTGAGTGTTGCTGTGTTGGCTCTCTATTGCTGTCTCTCCTCTGGCCCTGACATGCAGAGCTCAGAATGGAGAGGCGGACAGCGGTGAAAGTTGACAATGGCTTTGCGAGTAAAGACAGCTGTGTGACAGCTGATATAGTACTAAAGATCGGATCAATGAAGCCTGATGTAGCCTGTACCGATAAGTAAAAAAATGCCTCGATCGCCCCGTTATACAGATAAGTCAATCACATAACACTACTGCCACTCTAAACAGAAGAACCAGCAAACACAGAATAAAGAATTGAGCAGAAATGGCATTGTCAGCAATTTATTGATATTTTGCAAGCAGAAAAACAAGACTTAAAATGAGCCACACAACCAGTAAGTGGGAGCTAACGAGCAGCAGGGCAATGGGGTAAAAGTGTCGTGATGCTGGTTTGTTCTCTGTCAACGCGCCAGCCTCAGGGTCCTCCCACTGCCCAATGTCTCCCTGGGTCAGCCGACTGCAGGGGTGCCCATCAGAGTGAAACAGAATGAACAGAGATAGATCAATACACTGTGGTGTTAGTACAGCTAAGATGCTGTCTAAGAGGCACTTCTGGCACAGTTTGACCACTTGAGAGCCAAAAAAGGCTGTTACCAGAAGGCCCACTCAGACACATTAGTACAGACTTTGCCTTAAAAAGCCACAGCCACAAACAACCACAAATGTGAGAAACATGCTCACGGAAAGCTGAGATGGCAGAGGATGGAGGAGGAGGAGGCATGCAAAATGATGCAAAAACAAAAAGCTTGATGTAGAATGTGTTTTCATTACATCCGGCTTCATCTAGTGCAGCCTAGAGCAGAGGGCTCATGTTCAAAGTAGTGGTTTAACAGGTTTTTGTTAAACATCTGTTTTTAAGTTTGATTTACTCTATTGATTTCTTTTAGGATAGCATTTCACTTTCATTCACACTTTTTGACAGATGTGGCTCGCTGTCAGCAGTACAGTAAACATCTCTATCAAAGAGTGAATCTGCTTTCTTTTCATTGCCAGAGTCCCTGTAAGAAACCCACAACAGTTTGTAGGACCTTTAGGCGTGTGTGTAAGACAAACAAGCACATGCCTGGAGGTTTTAGATGAGTCACAGAAACAACACAGATGAAATACTTGATTAGTTAGACCAACAAGGATAGACTGACTAAGAGACACTATGTACTAAATCTGTGTGCTGTTGTTGCATGTCGAGACCAGAAAATTATATAAATGACAAACTTCCTAATATCAAACTTTATATCACATACTGTAAAACACAGCTGTAAAACTATATTGTAGTAGGTTCACAACCGGCCACAATTGGAAAAAACTAAATGGAGCTGCGGCGAGTCAACTGGTCCAGCCTGTCTTTTCACTGTCATTAAAGCCTTCCGCATTCCTATTCAAAACAAATAACAAACCTAATTTGTGAAATCAATTAATGGACAAATGTGAGATACAAATCCTCTGCCTCTTTTCACGACAACAGACAGAATTACCTTAAATACCCACTGAAGTTGCTGTACATATTATATAGGAAAAATGTAACTTTCCATCTAAAAGGCAAACAAGCAGCTTTCTTAAACATCACTGACTCAGCAGGGAACTGGAAATCAAATATATTATTTACTAAAGTGATGACGTAAAATAGCACTGATATTGTCAACCACACAGGTGTGACCTGACAAACCCGACCGACGGCGTCTTTAATCAGGTTAAATGCACTAATTATGCACTATATTAGTGATAAAAAAACAAAAAAACATGTGCCATACAAAACCAGTAATGTCTTATTAATTTAGTGCTTATATATTAAATTCAGATTAATTCCAACATAAAAATATTGGAGTGGCGAGGAAACACAACAGAGTATAATGTTCATATTTGCCACTTAAGAAGTGTGTTAAGATTTTCCTCCTTTTAGGTAGCACTTATTAGCATCCCCTAATTACCCTCTCTCACTTCACCTCAGTTCAACACTGAATTAAAGTTAAATTTGTCTTCTTCAAGACTAATCAATCTACTAAGTATGGAGGTTTAATTAGAACCACAGCCTTAGTTATTTAGAACTAAATAGAAGAGCTTACAGTGTTTAATCTGATTTTAGTCGCTGTTCTCAAGGAGCGTGCTGGTGTCAGAGGTGAAGACAATGCAGACGGTCAAAGAGAATCACTTCACTGTGCCTGGAGGATATCACTGCAGTGTACTCTCACAGCTAAAATGCAGCTTCCTTTTATCCTTTTACTCTAGATCCTAACACTGATCTCCCACCATTACGCATTTATAAAAACCCAGACGTTTTAATACATCTTAATGTGAAATCAATGACAAAATAAAACCCAATGCACACATTTCTGAAAAGATTATAAAGCTATGGATGCTAATACAGTCATCTTAGAAGTATAGTTTTCTACTGTAGGTACTGTATAAACACCGAACTACTGTTTGAATGCAGCTCCTCCAGTAAGACAGTGAATTACTGTTGCACTTTTGTTTCAACCCCCTATGGGAGCAATATGACATATATTCAAAAATGTCAGACATCAGGAAGTGATAATAATCTGCCACACACATACATTTTTGTTTTGTTTTGGTGTGACAATATCCTCATTACATTCTGCCTAATGTTAGGTAGGTGTGCTCAAGGCTAGTTACATGCTTGCCAGCTGTAATTCTTTTGGCAAATAAAGCACAGGTTTGAGTTGCTTACTGTGCTGTGCATTGTACATGGATACGTTTTAAACAAGAGCTCTTTTTTTCAAATAACCACAATGACAGAAAAGGAGGAGTGGAAGAGTTCTGCGTGGTCCTAACATCTAGCATCTGTAGAATATGTTGAGAGATTGACTTGTGGCCATTCATCTAACACAGCTACCATCAGCTATGCAGATCATTACCAGACATTTCAGATATGCACTTCACCAGCGGCTTTATAAAGGTTCTTTAATTAGAACTTAGACTGATTCAGATGTTTATCCTGCTGGCAAACACAAACACCAAAGGCAGCAGCATTCCTGCAGCACTGATAGGAACATGCATGGTTGCCTTTGAATGTGTGAGGGAAGGTGGTGATGTTGATGGGAACACATGATGATGTCTATACGGGCACATCTTTAACAGTGATAAGCAGGGAGTAAGCGAAATGTATTTGATGTGTGCAAATGAACGTCAGCTTTTTCACACATAACAATAATAATATTAATGTGGGTGCAAGTTATGACTTTAACCAGACTTTTTTAACACTTTTGTTTAAGTATAACAACTGCTAAGACTTCAGATATATTGATTAAAGAGTCAGTTTACCAAATTTTCACTAGTAGTATAAAGCTGATAGTTTTGGTTTTAGGAACTGAGATTTTGAGGTACGCTCACTAAAAACTCACTAATAACCCAAATACAGTCTAGGTGAATTGTATTGTGTTTGTGTTGTGTTAGTTGGTTACTCTGGATTACCCACAGAGCTCTAGTCAGTTGATTTTTCTTAAATTTGATTTCTTTTGTAGAAAGTAGTTCCAGTTAAAATAGCTAGGGAGGTCTGTGGATTATCCAGAGTAACCACCATATAGTTTTGAGCCCCCATTACATTGGGGTTGAGGCAGAAATCTCAGAGATGGATCTCTGATCTCTTTATCTGAGGAAATAAAACCAAAACTATCACACAGCTACATACTACTTAATCAAAATAAGAAACTATCTTCAAGTTATTTGGATGACTGACCTTTTAAATGCAGCATGTTTGAGATTGGTTGGAACAATAACTTGCACCCATAATAGTTTTATACTTTCTTTTATTACTGTCTTACCTCCGCATACAGTCCAGAGCACGGATGAAGAAATCCTTGCTGAGCTGGTGTTCATCACGTAGGAGGGCACACTGCTCTAATGTGACAGACATGGATGTCCGGTCTTTGGCACTTTTACAGCTGGTAAACCTGATGCCATTTAACCTTCGGCAGATCTGAATGGAAAAAAAACAAATACAATACATGCATCAGTAATGCGAACTGATGTCTTTGTCAGTAAAAGACATTCATGATCCATAGAGGATGAATTATAATATCTTTGGTGATATTCCAACTAAAAACTATTTTTTTTCATTAGTCACATTATTCCATCTGAACAGCAGCACAGAGCCACTAAGATGGCTGTAGATCCATCTTGTTTAAACAGATTCTTGCAGTGGATCACAAGCACTGTAAGAACATGTATAACCGTTCACTGAAAGAGATTTAATTTCAGGTTGAATGTCAATGTTTATTAAATATCATCTTAAGTCAATCTATCATGCCCAGGCAGTTACATTTCGCTTGGCTCATTACTCCCATTGAAGCCCATGAAATATCAATATGCCAGTATTGTCAGTATCTACAGTTACCATGGTTATGCAAGACAATGTTTATTTGGTTCAGAGAAATCTGTCTTACTTGACAAGGACAAAAAGTTACAAAAACAACTACTGCTCACCGTTCCAGCAATCCATAGTATCTCCACATTCTTTCTCTTCTTTGTGACTACATTCTGGCCCAGGGTTTCAAGTAATTCCTTTATGTCAGTCTGTGTCTGAAAACACGGTAGACCTGTTCATAGAAAATACAAAATGCATTGCCAGTAAGTGGTTCTGTTTCCTGTGCAGCTGTTGTGAAAATGTAAGGACAGGCTGCCACTCAAGGCTAAATGCAGGTTCTGTTGGTAGCAGACTAAATAAAAAACAATTTGCTTCATACTTCCCACACTTTTTTCTCACTGTTTTAAAAGACTAAATTCCAAGACCCACCTTTTAAACGATAAAGTGGCAATGTATAAATTGTGTTAAACTCATAAGATCAATACATATTACAATATATTTTTGGCTAATGCTCTTTTCTCCACATCTTTATAACTTCACATAAGAGTTGCTTTGCTGCAGCAGTGGGACCTGGAAAGGTTTACAAAGATAAAGAGTATTTCTCTTTGGTAAAATAAATGAAAATGTGCACTTACATTCTAGTGGCACCTTTTCACTTAATGATTTGTAATAGGCTTCTAACATCTCAAAGTTCCTCTGGTTTATTCTTTCTTGTAGAGAGATATCTCCAAACCTGAGAAGATGACAGAGAGAATAAAGTCAATTATGGCAGAGCATCACCAAGACGCTAAACACTAATCTTTTTTTTAACTGTTTATCAGTGGATGTAACAATAATGCAGAGCAGTGAATGCTGCATTCAGCTGAAAAACAACGTGGTAAAACATGAAAATAATTGCTTTGGTAGGATTTTGCTTTTTGCTTTTAGAGAAAACATCTTAAACCAATTAACATACATAAAGGCAATATAGTTACAACCGTTTTCTGCCTATGAGGGAGAGTGAGTGTGGCAGAGTTTTGAATGCCTCGTGCACAGAAGATTATTCTAATTTAATTAATGATTAATGATATAATGGATGCCCTTTGTAAGAATAAAGAATAAAGAACAAGACATGCACAACACTAGTACTTCATATTGATAACCTTAAGACCACACTGGCCTAGGTTAACACGTTCACACAACTTTGTTCTTAAGTGCGACAGATTGGAAGTTCTTCACAGTGAACAAAGAGTATCTGCAGTACCTCTCAGCTATAGTTTGCTGTTCGTTGATGCCCACGTTAAACAGCACCGGGAAAACTCGAAGAGGCTTGCCCTCCTTGATTTCCTCTGGCAAGGTCTGGAAAACCAGTCGTGGTAATGGCACTTCTACAGTGAAGTGGTCTCTGAATGCAGGGAGAGAAAAAAAGAAAGAAAGAAATGGAAGCCAGCAGAGATAAAGTGATATAACAGAAATTCTATATGTTTTGCAATTCTTTAGAATTTGATATGTTTGGGAAATTGTACAATTTGACACACAAGACAGGCCTGAGCAAGCTTTTAAAAAGAGAGACTGACGGTCTTAATGCATGAGTGTAAGAGAGTGTAAGCGTGTGAGACAGACAGCCTTACAGATATGCATGGAGGGGGGAGGGGGTGGAGCAAGAGGAGTGTAACATTTTATTACAGTTGGCATAACGTGTACAGCAACCAGCTCAAACAACCTGGCTTGACCTTGTTGTGGCAAATGTCCTAGAAGTGAGCTTCTGCTTTATTGCAGGCAGGGGGAGGGTATTTATGAACGATGACTTCAGCACTCCACCCTGCCATGGCAAACTACTACAGCGGGGACCCTTGGCATACTATTACACAGGATTTTTTCCATTGTGCAGGTCACTTGGGGTTTGTTTGGTCCAAACAGTGTATACCACAAAGAACCCCAGTAGCAAGCATTGTTATAATTGTTATAATTATGGTCGGAGAGCAGATAATAAAGATAGCACAAAACAGAGCAGACATCCTACTAGATTAGTCAATATCACTTCTGGTGTTTTACAGTCAGGACTGTACACTGAATATGATACACTATAAACAGCTTAACACCTCTGCATTAATATTTGATCTGGAATCTCTTAAAACACTGCAGTAGAAATATTAAAGTGGGCTTCTGTCTGTGTGAAAGTGCAGACATGGACTAGGAGGGGTCAGAGGAAATGGCTGCAGCTCCGTACAGTAAACAGTAAACTGTAAACAGTAAACTGTGCAGATTGTAAGTACCCACTGATCAGAGTACTTGAGCACCAGCAGGTAACAGTTAGTATAAAGGTCTTACACTAGACTGATTTATTGACAGGAATGTAGATTAAAAACCCCAAAAACGGGCACACTGTTAATCTCTTGTCTTGAACTAATTTTATGGATAATATTTCAGTCCTCAGAGCTTCTTTGGGTAAAATATTTATGTATTCATATGTTCAGATGGGCTTTTTTCTTTTTTTCACAGTAAGAAAGAACCAGGAAATTACACAGCAGTAGTAGTAACACAGTAGTTTGGTAGTGTTTACAAATGGAATTTGACTAAAACATGGTTACTTTTGTACAAGGTTACTTGAAATTCATTCAAAGTGTACCAAATGAACACTGTCTCCACTCCCTATTATTTGTACTAAATTGCACAGCCCATTTCCCTCAGAAACTGCAATTACATGTCATGCCCTTTTTTAAAAATAAAGAATCTATAGGAGAAGTAAAATAAAATGTTAATTTCAAATCTTAAAATGAAAAGATTTCAATTCAGTCAGCTGGGTGTGTTGGCGACTGGCCAACAACAGACCATTATCTATACTTGTTCCTTATAATGTACTGAACAATGCTACAATAGGTTGTAGTACACAACAGCTTTGTCTTTGCCATTATCACATAAAGAGGCCCACTCAAATGCAGTGTTAAAGCAAAGAAAAAGCAAAGAGAAGGAGATAATGTCTCACCGTCGGCCACACACTAAAGGTTGGAGGTCGCTGAGGTCATCTGTCTTGGCCTCTGTGATCTGGAACACGACTCTCTGCAGGTCTGAGATCCCAACCTCCATGTCCTCCAGCATCCCAATCTCTTCACCTTAAACGGTTTAATAAAACAAAATTAGTAGTGATTGGATTCTTGCTCTCCGTGCATCTTTTTAGTTTCTCAAATCGAGGCGAGTTCGGCTCAAATTGTAAAATTTAACTGGATGATGGAACATGGATCCTAAAAATGGGTCAAGGTATTAGCCGTGTTTCAGCAGTTAATTTTGCTGACTAGTCCGTTCTTTGAGGGCTGTACCATGAGCTTTGGCAAACCAGCATTAATGAGAGCTTTAAAGGCATACTATGCAGTTTTCCGGTTTTGTCAAACAGCTACCCCTAGAGTCGCTGCCGAGTACTTGTATTTAACGTTAACTGTCGTAAATACCACTCACCAGAGCCGTCTCTATATACGGCTCTGCGTCTCTGCACTCACGGCCTGATCCCCTCAGGCCTCCGGGATGATTCGCTGTACTACGAGTTTGTTTACCATCGAAATGACTTCGAAGCTGTTATATTAAGGTAAAAATCTTGCATAGTGTGCCTTTAATCATGGTGGAACAGGTAACTAGAATAGGTATGCTCATATCTTACATGGCCCTTAATCCAGTGTCCCGGAAAAATGTTGTGTAAAACATAAAGCAATAAAAGGCCATGTAATATGCCAAAAAAAAACCAGTGAGTCATCAGTCAGCTACATTTTGGCTCACCTAAACCAAACCACTATGCCGGGTTTTTTCCTTTCTAGAAACCAAATAAAAGTGTTCAATCTGTGTTCAGAGGTTTTGAAGTTGCCAATTGTGATTTTACTCTTCCAGATTTACTCACTGTATGTGCTGAGAAGGCTCTCAAACTGGGCCACCAGGCCAACCAGGTGGAGCTGCCTCAGGAAGCCTTTGTCCTGCATTCCTGCGTACAGCCTCATCACGAAACCGCAGGCTAAGGCTGCCAGCTGTTAATACACACACACACACACACACACACACACACACACACACACATACACACACACACACACACACACACACACACACACACACACACACACACACACACACACATTTTAGCAACATCTTCTATAAGCTGTCCTCTGCAAAAACAGCTAAGCAGCCACAAACCATATGAAGCTAAAACAGGGAGCCCAGAATATGCAGGTTCTGAAATAGTTCAGCTGCAATACAAGGGGATGTTCAGCTGCAGCCTCACAGCTGTATTCGGACCACAACATTTGAGTTGTAATTCTCCCTTGATAGTTATTTGATTTAAGATTGTAGTTTAACTTAAATATTTTCTGCGTCACACACATTATATTTTGGTGTATAGATACCCAATCTGTCAAATGAATAGACGCTGTTGTATTAAACTTCTATAGAACAATTATGGCCTATTGCTTTAAAAAAAAAAAAAAAAAAAGCTTTGGACTTTGGACCACAAAGGGCAATTAGATAGCAAACTGCTTTACCGGTCAGCGTGTCAAGTATTGTGTTGACATCTGCATTACAAAGTGAAATCTATAAGTGGTTTTGTGAACACAGGGTATGTACAAGACAGGTAAATTCCTGAGGACTTCTACAAGAGTTGTTTATCCTTTCAGTGTGGCCACCTACTGCCTGACTGAAGACCACATCTCGCCTCTGTTGGAGGAGAAAGCCTTGTGGAATGCTACAGGCTGCCTCCTGCAGGAGCACAAAGGTCATGGCTTTCTTCGCCTTCTCCACCACCTCCATCACACACTCCTTTAACCTGGTCACTGGAGGACGCAGCTGCTCCCGCCAGTCGCCTGAAGAGAAAGTTGGAATGGTAACAGAGAGGAAGAGGCAAAGATGGAATGATAATTATGGTGCGGTTGTAGATAAAAATATGCCTTAAGGCTTATGTTGTCAGAAACAACACACATCTGTGAAGTGAAACCAGTTCAGCCATTCGTGTTTCCTGAAAATGGGGAGGAATTACAGTAAATGGTCAGCTGATAAGAGACTCACATACAAAAACATGACATATAAATATTTGTGTGAACATGAAATAAAACTGATATATACAGTACGGCACAGTATTTATTTTCTTGTTAAGCACAGCAAATAATGGTAAATGATTGGCCAATGCATTTTTAATTCAGTAAATTTTACTGTACTATAAGGCAACACATTGGACCCTATTTAAATATATGTTGGCTCATAAATGTGGCACAGTGCAAAGTATAAAGGGCTGGGTGAAGTAGAAACATAGAATCGGAAGGTGTGGTTATAAGAATAAATATACTCTCAACCAGTCACATCACTGGTCTTATAGGTCTGAAACAGCTGTGCCAATCAGTGAAGTTTGACAACAATAACTCTACATTCCTTCAGGAAATCATATTGTTGTCTGGATAGTGGCATGATGTGAACACACAGCACCAGGAATCTGCAGCCAAAGGCAGATGGTGAGGGCTTTTCAACAGTTAATTAGTACAGTGACGAAATAAATAAATAATAAAAACAAGTACTTTGTTAAAGCTGTTCAATACTTTCAGTCCTAATTCTTCACTAAATTACATCCTAAATGATCACACTATTTATGTGACAGACCAGCCTTTGCACCATAATATGTTTTAGTAAAGAAACATCAAACAACATTTGTTAAAATAAAGTTGGAAAAGAGCCATCTGCAGGGGTTTAATGAACTGAAGGAGAAAGTTTTCATTCAGTATCACACGGCTGTGGATAACAGATACTGTTAGAATCACTCATTAATTCGTAGATCAGTTCAGACTGCTTTAATGCTGTTCCTGCTTTAACAACATTAAATATAATTCTGATTTAAACACATCTACTGTACTGGTTGGACAGTGTGAATTAAAACGGTCTGATGCCATTTTTATTCTGTACATTTGCCAAAAAGTCACCAAATTGGCAGTGTAATGACTTTTCACCAGGAACAGATCTGAGATATTTTTTGTCCATCTCGCTTTACACTGCCTCGTTTGAGAGAAACCTCCCACCTGTGCACCATGCGTTCTCTGTCAGGAAATTACTACTTGTAAGAAGGCCCCTAAAATGTACTGCCAAATATCTCACACTGTACCAAAGCTCATTAAAGACATTATGTAATTGCCTCTTTACTTTCTTAATGCGGTGTAATTTCTGTTGAAAAAGGATGTTGGAGTGGAACATAACACTGAAAAAGATTACTCTAAAGTAAAAGCCCATGGCTCCATTTGAAAGTGAGCCAATTGTTAGGTTGTCGCAAGATTGGAGAAACTATTTATACAATACTTTCAAGTATTTCAACTTCTCTCGTCACTTGATAACTAGTTTTTCACGCACACAGTTGCAACATGTGGAGTTTATGTGTTACAACTGACTAAGGTTGATGGGAAGCTTACTGGTTTTTATAGATTATTGATCATTATCACATTCTATTTGTATATTTTTACACTTAAAGGGCCAGTGGGTAACATTTAGGAAGATCTATTGGCATGTTTTTATTAAAGCATTTGAATAGAGGAATTGTTATGTTGGCTCACTGGCTCTAGACAGGAACGTTTGCGTTTGTTCATGTGTTTTGTGGCCACTGTAGTTTCTACTTCACACTTGGAAGGGGAGGCTGGAGGCGTGAAGGCGTGGGAGTTGCCATCTGCAATTACACTGCTAAATGCCCCTATATTGTACACACTGGACGTTAAACACAAATAAATGTTAAAATCTTGAAATCAAACCAAAAGTAGTTCAGTTACTTGGACTTAATTAGTTGAGCTTTCCATGTACAACCTGCAGAAGTAGCCCTGGCTGGGAACCACTGACTATGTACTGTATACTAATTGTCATAATACACTGATTTATTTGCTATTTTAAAAAAAAAGAAACTTTTGCAGCCGTGATTTCCTTTGTGTATTCCATTGTTAGATAATACTGTATACCCACAGCACAATCAGAGATGAAACAGATGCAGTATGCATACTTACTTTCTTGTGTATACTTCATTTTATCACACTAGATACTAAAACCCTGCTTAGAAACAGTATGTTAAATGTATGACACAGCTCTAGTGGTATTTCATGGATGCATTTCCATCAAAAACAAGTTTATGATCTCCTCACTAGCCAACAGAGGGCAGTGTTGGTTAAGTAATGTACAAAATGAGTTTTTTTAACCATGCATTTTGTTTAGCTTCATCATTTTAAAAAAGTTATTTTGGGGAAGTGAGGATCAGAATGAACAGACACACACACAAGCACGTTTGGATACGGCCAAGAATGTATAGCACATCAGCCTTGCCCTTGCCCTGTCAGAGAAATCATGTCTTATCTCATTCTGCAAATACCGCCTCTGCACAGAGGAGGAGGAAACAGAACTCCAGCTGTCATCTCTTCGCTAGCCCACCTGTCCAAACATCCAAACCCCACAACGCCTTGTCATCAAAAGTCTGGGCTTCACTGGTCTCCGTTAGGAGATAAAGCCGCTCTCATTATTCCGTCCATGTTTGTATTTAGACAGGCAGATGACCACTTGCTCTGAGCCTGTTCAGCATCTTAATAAAGGTGCTCGGGGGGGTTGAGCTTATCTTTCAGACTGAACACCGGGCGCCTTGTTCTTACCTGCCAGCTCACTTGGACAGACAGACACACACAGACACACATGTACATGCAGGCACAAAATGATACAAATGCACCACCGCTTGCACCGATGCCTGAATGTGCATTTGCCTGTGACAAACACACACACACACACACACACACACACACACACACACACACACACACACACACACTCTCGTTGTCGCCTGGTCAGACTAATGCCGCTGCTCTGTGTGCCAGTTGGCAGTTGTATCAGGCTGGGCACTTGTCTGGACACAAGCTTGAGGCAGGATTTCATTGGACGTAAGGGAAGACTGGGCAGCTTGCAGTCAACAGTGAATGGCTCTGCATATCAAATATTGCTTTCATCCACTTCTCTGGCAACGATTTAAGTTTCTCTTTTTCTAATGCTTAAACAACAGGGAGCCTCTAAGTTGGACCGCAGTCTTGTCTCACTTATTTCAATTGAGGCTTTTCCAATACACTGAAAGACATTGACTGCTCAGTGTTATTTCCCTCACAGTGAAAATGTATTTGATTCAGTTTATTAATATAATCTTTGGCCAAAAAGCTCTTTTCAAGTTAAAATTAGCTGCTGCTTTGTGATGGGGACAGGAAGGGAAATATCAGATAAGTCACAATACTATATTGCCAATGATAATGATGGAAAAGTTAAACCCAATTCGGCACTATACTACATAAAAAGTTAGCTATGATGCAGCACAGGACCTGTTTAAGTGAAGAGGAACAACAACCTCTAAAATGGGAAAATATTTGAGTGGTTTTGGCTTTTATAGACAAATAACATCAAACAGTTGATGTCTAAATCATCATTGAGTCTGGGTCTTTTTACACACAGTGGGTTGTCTACAGATAGCACAGAGTTTCATTTAATAGCTTGAATTAACACATATGAAGACATTTAATACCAATTTATCATACAGAAAGCTACAACTATAACAAAGAAACTACGCCTGTTGGGGCTGTTGTTGGATATTTTAGACCTTTGCTGGTAAGTATAAAGGGAGCAAGGTTTATCTAGAACAGTAAACTAAGTATATTTGATTTTTGGGTTCTGATTCTGCTGCTGAAGAAATTGACCTACTATGATAAAAACAAGAAAGGAAAATTGAACAGATAACCATGTTTATATTGAAATTATAAAACTTATTTGCTTTAACTTATCATTATAAAGTAAATGTTGTTTTCACAGTACACTGGCCATAACATAATGACAACATCCACGTTTAGATAAGCCTCGCTTTCACTATGCATTCCCATGTTTGCCACTGGGAACAAACTTCACGGAGCTAGGCTTTGAGGAAAATGGAAAGCAATCGGCTGTCTTTGCGACGAATACCACTTGGAAATGCTAGGAGGAGGAAGGGAGTTGAAGTTGTATGTTTCCACTTGAAGGAGCTGATTTATGGAGCCCAAAGTGGAGGGATGTTTGGATGTCCATTATAGTAAAATACAACCCTCATGTTGTTGGGCTACAATCAAAACAGGTGACTAATGTTGTTGCCCAGTAGCTGGAGAGGATTGTAGATTTCAACCAGCCAAAATCAGATAACTTGTGTAATAATATAACAGGTTTCACATGATGGTGACAGTCACCAGAGATGATTATATGATTGTGCTTCTGTGTATCATTTACCGGGGTTGTGTGAGGTGATGACATCAGCTAGCTGCTGGTCAGGGACTGGCTCCTGCTTGCTGTTGTCTTCCTCCTGGAGTTTATCCACCATGGCGATTACACAGTTCAGACATTTGGCCACGTTGGCCCACACCCTGTCCTAAAAGAGTGGAATACACAATAAGCAGTCAGATGATTAGATCTCGTTCTTTCTTACTGTGTTTGAGACAGTGAAATTGAGGGAAAACAACAAAAACTAACAACAACTGAAAGAAAAACTGCTGAAGCAGCTAAAAGCATAAAAAAGTATCCCCTTATCTGTAAGAAACAAAGCAAAAAGGTGTTTCCCTTTACAGTCTGAGCGGGCTTTGTATCCAAAAGGTCAAAAGGAAACTGCTGTCTGGCTATGAGATTCCTCTCATAGCGTTTGGATTGTTTCCACCTTTCTCCGTCTTTTCCTGAGGTCCAACTGTTAACGGACAAATAGATGCTTTCACTTTTGTTTGTGCACAACTATGACAATCCAAGAGTCCATGTATGTGCATTCTAAGTGGCGGTGTGTATTTTGGTACTTTGTTGCTTCAAAAATATGTCTTGAACATGTTATAATGGGGAGGAATATTTAGAGAGATAATTAGGCATTTGTGTGCAGAAATCATGATAAACTCCTGCTGTCATTGTGGCAGATGCAAACACACCAACGGCTACACCACAATAACATTCTGCAGCCAGTTTGTCATGATGAAATGTTTAAACTCCCCAGAGAAAACCCTCTCATTAAAAAGAAAAATGTTTGGTACGGAATCTAATTTTGCAAGTAATTGAAATTATTTGCCATAAAAATGGTTTATCTGTAATACGTTTGTCTCCCTCTGTGTGCTCTACTGCGAGGACCAGCAGAAAAAATAATACTTGTCACATTGTTTTTGTAAAAAACATAAGTCATAGCTCTGAAAGATTTAGAAAAGTAGTCCCACTCACCCACTCCTCCTCGTCATACTCTTTATGGTGCGGTATGGAGTCTTGGTGCTTCAGCGGCAGAGTCCCACCTTCTCCTCTAGTCGTGGTTTGTGATCCCTCCACATTATTACACACCGCTGTGCTCTCAGTGACCGACAAGGTTGGACTGTGGCCTGGGAGTCCCTGGACTGGGCTTTGATTCTGGTCACTGTCCTGGTGGATGTGGCCTTGATGTTGGCCTCCCTGCACCGGGGTTTGCTTCTGGTTCTTGGAAACGTACCCGGGCCGTGCTGCGTGCAGTGCTAGCAGCGCACTCTTGACCAATTCATCCTTAAGTGTGTGAACAAATTGTTCTGTCTGTGGCAAAGAGAGAAAAAGAGAGATTGGGAAAAAAGTTATTGTGGGACAGCAAAACAGATGAAAATTTAAGAGCTGAAAAAGCAAAAGAGACAGAGTAAGTGAGAGAGATTGTCACACTGGTGGGGTGAGTGGGTGGAGGAAAATACTGGTGGAAGTGAGCTTGGAAGCGGGTAACTATTTACAGAGGAAGTGAAAAGAAACAAGGAAAATGAACACTCTCCTTCACCATGAAGTAGCTGCTTTCCATTACCACAGCACAGCCGGTGAGCAACAAAAACAGCAACAAACAACAAACAATTCAATTACTCCTCCTCCAGCCTGTTTCTCCGAGGAGCACACCTCCTTTGATCTCAAATTCACCAGCTACTGTAAGTTGATGATGATCCCCGTACCAAAGAGCCTCGCTCTAGCTGCCGCCACTGCGTAAAAAATGATAAGGGCTCTCAAGAGTAATTGAGTTAGCAATGCAATAAGCAATTTTATTAACACAACATAATGCAGTCTAAAAGAAACCTGCAAGGTCATTATATACATATCTTTGTCACACAAACACCTGTTTTCCTGCTCCTACCTCACAGATGTGGACTGAGTAGTGAGCCTGCAGAAGGAGTGATTTTCACTTCTATGATTGTGTCATTTGTGTAATTACTACTCTACTATCCAGCAAGTCAAAAGAAAAAGCAATAAACTAAAAAATGTCGGTATAAGAAACATAATTTAATATTTCTTCTCTCTATATAACAATATCTTGACCAATGATCTTTCTGCTCATGTTTCTTGAGCCAATTAGGGACATCAAGCTGCTCTGGGAGGTACAGAAGCGGAAATTACGATTCACTTTGCTGATCAACATCATCATAATCATCATCACATCATTGTATTCACTGTAGTTCATTCAGTTTTCTCTAAGCTAAGAGACTGCAGCGCGTGTACATCAGTAAGCGAGCGTTCACCCTTCACACTTTAATGCTGTGACGTTCGCTATTGATTCTGTCTTCACTTCAGTCTGTGGCTGGTTAAAACAGTTACATTTAGTTCAGAACAAAACGTGGCCTACACAAGCACTGTTTACATTACAAGGTTAATAGCTGGTATTGGTGCTTTTAGACACCAGTGAGGCGCCTTACTGCTAAAAGCTACTGTTACCATTAGAAGAAAATGTATTTATCATATTTAAATACAATTTATTGAATGTATTGATTATTATGATTATAATTTTGTTTTTATTATTAATATTTTTTTCCCAGTTCTCCTCCTCCTCGCACATACCTGCACATTCCTCTGGTCACACTAATGCATACATGAATTCACAACACACTAACACACTTTTATACATGCACAGAAACACATACAAATATTAAAGGTATATGCATAGTTCTCCCACTAACAAAAACAACAACAAATATGTACCAAATTCAAATCATAATCTCTGTTTGTTACGTCTTAATGTTTTGTGTTATTACACCCACTGTTTGTCTTTCTACAGTAAGGTATCACCTTTTTGTCCCATTGCACTGATAAAAAAAGGCTACTCATTCAATCAGTAACAATGGTGATTTAGTATAATTAGTTCAGTTTGAAGATTCACCAGTGTTTTTGTTCACCTGCTGTCTTTACTCAACTATCATCAGCGTCAGCACTAATGACCTTTCTCCTGTCTTCATATGGACCTAAACTGTCGTTCCCAAAACTGGCAGGTTACAGGTTCTGTTACTCTGACCACTTTCACAAATCTGACTCATTGTAGCTTTTAATGAGAAGAAACTTCTGACTTGCTTTAAGAATGTATCTTTCAGTGTTCCTCTTATGATGCAGCTACAGTCTGTTTCAGTCAATAAGAAAACAACACTGTTCCATCTGAGCCTAGTTTAACTGTTCTGTTCTTAATTTAAAATAATATAAAGACTGTTATCCACACGAAACGGCCCATTTGATGAATGTTTGAACAGAGAAAGCAAATTATGACTACACTAAAAACACCATTGTGTTGAATTCATATCCATTTTAATTGCCTTGAATGGATCCAAATGAGTTCCATTACTGTAAGTAAATGATGTGAGTGCTGAAGTCTATGGATAAGGCTATGTGTGTAATTGCCTGAGAACAAGCGATTCTGCTGGAAAACTATTCTGTGATGCACACAATTGTGTACAAAGTAAACATCGTTTTAAAAGATAAAAATGTCCAAATGACTAAAAAATGAGCCACGCTTGATTCAGTCAGTAACCAAAACACTTAACAGGAATTGGGAATTCAAAATGTAAATTTATATTCAAATTGAACTCTGAATATCTGACCTCAATGTTAATTTGCAATCTATGAGAACATGTATTATTCATTATCTTTCCAGAGATGAGTGAACAAAGCCACACACTGTATTTAAAACAATCTGGATCATATTTGCACTTCTTAATCACAGGGTCAAAGAAGTTGTGTATGTGACTATGCCAGTGCTCATACAGTAACTTTTTATACGTTTTACTTTTGGATAGGAATTGCTTAAATTACAAATCAAACATTCAATTACATTCCTAAATATTCAGCCGGTATAGAAGCTTACATCCTCTAACATCAGGATCTACAGCAAAGTGCAGAAAACATTTTAATGATATACTGTACTGCAGTGTTCATATAGATATTGTGTTCAAAGTGAAATATCTGAGGTGGAGTCCTTTGGGCAAAGGAGAAAAGCACTGCATCTTCATTTTCTTACCAAGGCTAAACCAAAGCAACTTTGCTCCTCCACGTGCAAAAAACTACTCCTCAGTGTAGCTCCTCCACACCTACCTGGTATACAGATCTGAAATGCTCAAAATCCCTCGGGATAAATTCTGTTGCTAGTCTTTCTTCAATATATCTGCTGATATGATCTTGACTGAGCAGAAGTGCAAGTCAGAAAGCGCCTCTGTGGACTCCAACTGCGGAAAAATAAGTTACGTTTGATCTAAAAAAGAAGAAAAGTGTAGGAATCTATTCACCCCGAATGGTTTCGAATGGTTTTACCCTGAAGGATGAGTGGATTTTGGCTGAGTTAAAAATAGAGCTTTTTCACTCAGCGTAACTTCACTTGAGAGCTGAAGGGAGGCTGAATGGATAGAGCTGGTCAGATTCCAGCAGCACTTGGCTGTGAGGACACTTACTCACTATTGCGTATATGACCTCTATACACCGTATAATTTAACATAATCATGCATAGACAATCAAACCCACAGCTCCTCTCAGGTAACCGTTACAGCGGAGACATATAACTTGTCCTAGGACACAGCTGGAGGGAGGGGAGATACGTTGCAATTGCCTTTTCACTGTGATTATCATCAGAGTGAAATTATTATTATCATCATCAACAGAATCATCATCACATATAGAGAAGCAACAGCACATCTGCCGTGTCCAAAGCTAATCAGAATGTGCCCAGGAAAAGTATTTGGGAGTGAAATATTACATTAGGCCTGGAGTCGGGTGGTCTGAACCAAGAAGGAAAAAGTCAGAGGCAGCAAGTACTTGATGAAAAAAGGTTCTTACATCCCCCTGATTTTCTCTGCAGGTGTCTCATCTTCCCCAGATTCTTTGAAGGTGTGACTCACTGTCTTTATTGAAAGAAACTTCACACACCCTGCAGAGACGCACTTTCAAATGCATCCACCTTTATTTATATGTCTGTAAGAAGGATATCAAATACCTGTCTGCCGCTAAGTGTGAGTATGGAGGGTTATTTCTTTTGTCTGCTGCGTGTGTCTTTTCTCCTTTCCCAATTAATATTTTGTTGGTGAGTTTTTGCTCATCTGAATCTGGGGCCTAAAGATAGACACTGTTTGTGTGGGATTTCTCTCCTTACTGATTAACCTGCCAATTCCTTTGTCAATTAATCAATTGTTTCGTCTATAAAATATGTATAGTATTCAAATAGCTTATTCTGTTCAACCAACAGCCCAAAACTCAAAGACAGTCGGTTTATTAGTATAAATGAAGAAAAGCTTTAACACATTAGAGAAGCTGGGACCAGGAAATATTTGTCTTTTTTGTCTGAAAAATAATTCAAATGATTAATTGATTCTCAAAATAGTTGGAGTTGGATTATATTTTTTCATTAATTGACTATTAAATTAACTGTTGCAGTTCTAGTATGATGTACAGATTGTTAAAAGAATAATTCAACATTTTGGGAAATACATTTATTCACTTTCTTACCAAGAGTTAGATGTGAGGATTGATGTCACTCTCACGTTCATTTGGTAAATATGTAGCTGGAGAGAAGCTGCTGCCTATAGCTTTTTTTCTTAAATTATCAAGCTATTCCTTTAAGTAAGTGTTTTTAGGCAAAGTTGTGATTTCGAGCTATATAAATAAAACTAGACTTGAAATGTGTGAGCAAGTTAGCATGAGTCACGTGAAACACCTTTGCATTAACACCCAGTATTTGTGTGTCTGTAAAAAGATGATTTTTTGCGACCAGATGTAAAGGAGGAATGATATAAAACATTCAACGCTGTTCATGATTGGAGCCTTTAAAGGCTTGAAGAGAGCGATGTCACTTGAGCATCAGCTTTTACACACACGCAAACACACAGTTTCACACTTCCACCGCCCTCAACCACACACACACACACACACACACACACACACACACACACACACACACACACACACAAACACACACAAACACAGCTTGAGATTTTAATCAGAGAGCAGCCCTGCTTCTGCTGACCAGGCCAGGGGTTTACTTGGCCAATGTGTGCGTGTCTAATCAAGGATGAGAGGAAGTGGTGACAGAGCGAATGTACCAATTAAGCGGGCTGATTGGGCTCTATTCCACTGTGGCAAAAACAATCTCTCCCACAACAGATTGCAATCTGACAGCACCAGATGTAATTCATTAATTATACTGATAAAAACGCCCCAACTCCATAAACCTCCATGCTGCTATTCACTTTTGTTAGTTTGGCGTTTTTATGATGAGTTATGGATTTTTCCTGAGGTTGTCTGTTTAGTGTGTGCATCTGTGTGTGCAACTGTGTCAAAGCAAATGTTGGATTTGAAAGTTTTAAAGTTGTTTTGAGAATTTATAAACTACACAGTTTTGTTTGGAATGAAACTGGGAGAGTAATATGGTACAAAGTCACTCTTGGAGAATAACTCCTTTGAGACGGTAAACATAGGAGTGTTTCAGTCAGTTTAGGCTAATATGGCCACCTGAATAGTCCTCAGATTGCAACTTTTTTTTTTTTTTTTTTTATATATTTTTTGGGCTTTTACTACCTTCATTACAGTGACAGCTGAAGACAGACAGGAAAGGGGGTCAGAGAGTGGGGATGACACGCAGCAAAGGGCCGCAGGTCGGTTTCGAACCCTGGGCTGCCGCAGCAAGGACCAAGCCCCGGCACATTGGCTGCCAGCTCCACCCACCGAGCTAACCGGGTGCCCCCAGATTGCAACTTTTAACAGGAAAATGATTGCTTATAAGTTTAGAGGCAAAACCCTCGAGCAAATAACTAAGTTTGGGTTTAAATGAACGTATCACCATAGTTACAGATTAATCTAAAAGCTTTTCATGCTGATGTATTACCTGACAATGTTTGCAGATATGTTCAAGAATAAAAGAGGTGGTCAGAGTATTGCAGCAGCCTGAGGCCAAGTGAAATAAAGGGATAGTTTAGATGGAAGTGAGAGTGAGTGCAGGGTTTAGGGGCAGCCTCACCTTGTCAGAAAGGTTCTTGAGTGCATCCCTCAGTCCGGGGGAAGAGTGCTCCTGGGCAGCCTGGAGGAGCTGGTCCGCTAAGCTTGTGATGAGGGGCTGGAGGAGGCTCATGGTGCTGAGCACCTCCTGAGCTTTGGCTGTGTGCTCTGGAGAGTAGTAGATACACTGGTAGGCAGTGCTGAAGCTGTGGTGGAGGGAGAAAAAACACATTAGATTTCAGATTTGACAGATCTTGCTGCAGTTGCACAGCAATGGACTGGATACTGTATCAGTTCTTACATATGAAAGGGGCCAAAATCTGTTTTAAAAAGGACAATGGGACTCACTTGCTTCAGATAACATTGAAGCCATACTGGACTGAAGCTCATACCATGTTTGTTTATGTCAGTGCTGCTGGTGTTCTTGCTGGAGTCTACCTCCCACCAGCATTTGCCAAAACTAGCTAGAGTAGGAAGAGACATAATTTGATATCAAACAAGCTACAAACTTCTCTCCAGCATGCACTGGATGACATGCTCCAACTGCCGGCAAAATCAACGCTGACACATAAAATCCTAACACACAGAACTGATCAAGGTGTAATTTAAGTCAAATGTAAGTGCTTTTCTACACTTAAAATAAAGATAGCCTGAGCACATCGCATTTTACATTTAGAAAATTGTTTCTCTCAATGCCTTTGGTTGTTGTGGAGCGTGTAATGCCCCAAACTTAGTTGCTTTGTGCATTACACTGTTGCAGCTCTTCACCTCCACAACACCCTGTTGTGAATAATAAGCGCAACCTTCCCTAACATCTAGAAATTGCATCTAATTGTTTTTACACACAGGTGTAAATTAGTCCCTGACAGAATAGATAAATTAAACACAGTATAGCAGCCACAGGCCGGATCTTTATGAAGGGGACTAAAAAAGAAACATGTTTAACTCTTGTTGTTATCTAACGACATCCAAAAAGCAAACAACTATTCTCTCATCTGGTCAAAAATGTGTCTGATCATTACTTTACAATGTCAAATGGTTATTTGTTGTGTTGAGGTCAAACAGACAAATAATGGGTTTTTATTGACCACTAACATTACATTATGGCGCACTAATTTTCTGAGCTTAATTCATTATGTGTTGCTACTTTTGCTGCCTTGAAAATGTACAGCAGCAACGCTTTCCAGGTACTCAGCCTGAACTGTCAAATTGGACCTGCAGTCCAATGTCAACCCATTTTCGCTTTATGAATAATTAATCCATTTCTCATTTCTAGGGAGCTATTTAATCTCAGACAAAAACACCTTTTGTCAGTTCCTAGATTCAGGGCAAATCACTCCAATCAAACATTCTCCTCGGGTAAAGTTCCAGTGACTTTCAATGAGTTTCCGCTGACTTCCTGCCATCAGACGTAGCGTGGAGCGAGGAAGTCATTTGCAACCCTCCCAGCTAGTTTAGAGTCAGCTCTGCAAGCCTCTATGTAGGCCAGACCCAAGAGCCAGATCCTAAGGCATAATTGACATAAGAGAGAGAGGGGGGAGGGTAGGGGCACATACAAAGGACTAGCATAATACAGTATTCTCTGCAGCGCTCCTAATATTTTGCAGTAAGAGAAAGACAGTGCTCCTTTAGAAGTCGCCCTGTGTGGAACCACACTACCTGATGTATCAATAAGTGTGAAAACCTGAAGACTGTAAAAAATTAGACGTACTGTAGTAGGTACTAGCCACTAACCATGTCTTTGACTGGCTAACTCTAAAATCTTGGCCTTGTCATTACAGCTAATGAGCCCCCTGGAGAACTACCACCCACAACCTCAAAGCTAATCAAAGGAATCACTAAGTGAGAGAGAGACACAGGGCAAACAGTGTGAAATAGTCAACTGCACAGAACAAAACCATTTCTTACTTGCAAACTTCTGTTATGCCCACTTCCATAACCATACCTTCAAATGCTAAGATTTCAGCACAGAGAAGACCATAATTGAATAATCTACTGCAACAAAGCAAAGTCTGTAAAACCCTTTCATCCCATGTGAGCTTACATTCGTCTTATTACATTATGCAGAACTAAAGAGAAAAAAATCCTACAGGACTGCAACAATAGAGAGACTCCAGAAACGAGGCAAAGGAGAAAGTTGTTGGAAGAGGACAATTGCTTCAGCGACTGAGATTCAATAACAGCCCTGTTGACTCATAAGTACAAATCCAATCCCATTAGGGAGCCTATGCAGGCAGTAATGAATGTTGGGACCTGCCACCTGATGCTAGAGGACAGAATTGATCCCCTCAAAGGCTGGCTAAGGCAAGGAACTTTAATTGCCTCATCAGCATTGCTGTCAGTCCAAACGAGTCTACCAAGACAGCAAACCATGCAAAGGTAAAACAGCATAAATCTGTGAATGCAAACTTGATGAAATGCCAAAGGGGATGTTGCACACAAGAATTGGATTGTCATTTCAAGCCTTGGCATTTTTTCCATCCCTGATGTAATTTTTTTTTCTTCTTATATTTCTTTGGGCTTTTCCCCTTTATTACATAGGAGAGCTGAAGATAGACAGGAAGGGAGGTGGAGCGAGAGGGGATGACATGCAGCAAAGGGCCACAGGTGGGAATTGAACCCTTGGCTGCTGCAGCAAGGACTCAGTCTTTATACCTGCAGCGCAATCTCCACCAGGTGAGCTATAGGGCCGCTCCATCCCTGATGTAATTTGGGAGCGCTTTGTGCAAAGTTGTTAAAACGTGTTGCCAATAAAACAGTGGGTGGACACAAAAATACACAATATAGTACAACAGTCCTGCAAAACTTACAACTTTTTGTGGAACCTATGATATTTATTTTTTGTTGCATATGTGTCAGAAAGGTGATGATTGAACCCTAAGGTAACGTCTGAGGCCACAGCCTGTGGTGTCATTGGAGTGCATGATATATTAATAAATAAATACAAGAACAGAAAATCCACCCACCTGTGTAGGTCTTAGGATGGAGGGACTTAGCCTCAAGCTGACTCACAGCACAACTGAACTCATAAAAGGCCTCCTTCTTCCCAAATCCTTTACTTTTGATTAAAGGGGCTCCCAGAAGAACTTGTTTTTTACTGTTTGTTTGATGGTAGATCTATTTCATGTTTGAATCTGAACGAATTTCTTTTAAGTTAAACATTTTTGTTCCTATGCAGTTACCATTTGATCAGACCATTCTGAGTGTGTGATATCAACCGTATTATTTTGCCTTGTAGCGCTCTATTATCTGTTATGATCCCAGAAGAAAGTACAAAATCCTTTGAAAATCAAACAAAAGGTTAGATGGCTTTCTGTACATAGAGTATAAGTTTGTTGATGCCATATATATAATAGCAATATAAGCGCTACTGGGAATTTCTACACCAGGCGTTGTTTTAACAAATCAATAAATGATGAAGATGAATTTATTGATATTCATACTGTGAATGAGTCACTTGTCCAACAATTATTTAAACTTTGCATGCCATTTGTGTATGCCTACAGACCTAAGAGACTCATTAGATTCCATACATGCAGTATAGAGCATTTCAAGTGAACTAGCGTTCTTGTTTTTTCTCCAAACACACAAACTAAGGACTAAAACATTGATCTAGAAGGTTGTCTTGAGTGTAGGCCTGTCGCGATATGCGATAAATCAATTAATCGCACCATAAATAAAAAGACCTCGATAATTTTTCCGGCCGCGATAATTTCCATTTACATGCTTTGTTTGTTTTCCTCGTCTCTCTCTCTACCAAAGAGACTGGATGACCACTCCAGTGCATCGGTGACCCCAGGGGCATCGTACCCATGGGGGACACCCACACTTTTTCTGCAGTTTTTCCGCAGTTTTGCACAAACGCCTTACTACAGTCGCTCCGTTTCTCTGGCCGCTCTGTGTCTGCGCTCGCTGCGGCTGCCTCCTCTCCCACCCCCCTCTCCTGTTGTTGCCTCAAAAGGCTGTTCTGGCTTAAGTCCCGCCTCTCTTGGTGTGTTAGATTTATCGTTCAGCTCGTGCTGAGGAGGCGGGAACTAGCGAGGTTCATAGTTCATATGAAGCCCAAAGTTGTCAATATTGGTAATAGGCATCTGCTTCATCTCTTTTGCACTTTTTGTTTACAAAGGTCCTAACTGGCAGGTTTGCCTGTTAAGGAATGTATCACTCTTTATGTCTGAGCAATTTTGTCTACATCCATTTTATTTATTGTTTTTGATTGTGTTTGGTTTTTATTCCAGTGCATTTTTTGTTAACAGAGACTGAGAGTCCATTTTATTTATTGTTTTTGGTTGTTTTGTTCATTTCTTGTGGATATTTAAAATGTCTTCCAGTTCCAGTATTACATATTGTTTAGAAATAAAAAGCTTATTGATCTTTTAAAAGGTGTACCTGCATTATTATGCCAATATCATTATATTAGATGAAAATGGTCTCGGAACGACAAATTATCGTTTATCGCAATAATTTCTGGGACAATTTATTGTCCAGCAAAATTTGTTATCGTGACAGGTCTACTTGAGTGTTTTAACCATAGTGATGCGCTAGTTAAATTTTTCTGTGCCACATTGTGAAATAAAGATCAATGAAACTCAGATTTCTTGCATGTTAGAAAACCCTACATGTAAGCATAAATATGGCATAATGAGTAGAGTTTTCTAATGTGTCCACAAATTCTGTTTTACTTAAATTATCTCAAATAGGAGCTACAATGGAAGAAACAGCATTATTTGTTCATATTCCATTACATAGTACATATAAATCATATGTTAGGAATTATTCATTATCTCATTATTTTAATAGCATACCTACTGTACATCCAACCAAAGCCACCAGCCTGTGGCCCAGAGTCAACTGTGCAGTACATGCTGCACTCGTGTTTTGTGATATTCTTCTGACTTGATTTTCTAGAGACCTCTAAAATCATACAAACCCCTTTTAGTCCAGTTCTAGTTGCCTGTTTTCCTGTCATTAAAAAATCTTACCTGCAGACACATCTAGCTGCAGAGAAATAATAGTTAGACACCCAATTGTGGCACTAAACCAAGGATGCAGAGTACAGTTTAATATTTCTCAACCAAAACAGCTTGCATGTATGAAGGCTTTCACTTTTAGTTGATTAACTTCCTATAAAGTCACCTGAAGGTGTCAGGTTTCTTTTTCATCTGAATTTCTTAGTTTTGTGTGACACACTTTGGCAAACCTTAATTTCATGTTGTGCCAGCTGTGCCGCTTCTCAATGCAGGGCAGGTCACAGTGGAGACTAGCCATTCTCAAGACACATGCAGTAAAGATTGACTTGTGGCGAACAGCATGATGTGGAACAGCAGAGCATGACTACTCGTCATATTACTGTGCTGTTTCATATTAAGTATGGTGTGACTGGCAAAAAATAATTTGTAATAAAAACTACATAATTACTGTATTTGTGGCTCGCATCCAGTTTCATTACGGTAATTTTTAGTTTACACAGACATGTAAAGGTCTTGTTCCCTGTTTGGCCGCAGAGACATTATTGGTGACATTATCACATAATGCATTGGAGACTGCTCGATATTCCATATGTTCAGAAACAAGAATTCAATTCACCTGGGTCTCACATATTTGGGCTCGACTACATTTACACTTGCAACTCTCCTCCCCCTGTAAGAGATTAGTTTCCTCTTAGGTGAAACTCCTCCAGACTCCATTACATGACGTCAGTACATCATTGTGGAGAGAGCAATGCTTTTAGAAGGAATTGCTGTCAGACCCCAACACACTCACAGATAATGTATGATAATAAATTCTTCTTAATCCCACCTCATTTCCATGTGCACCCCTGGTACACCACGCGCCTCCAGCCATGAAAATACTGAAGGTGTGCTGCCACTCCCTCTGCACAATATGCACAGTGGCCTTTGACTCATGAAATTATCTCCCTTCATCTTCTTATAATTCAAATTTCACACAAACAAACAGCACTATGTCTCCAGGATAAAGGCCCATCCACGTGCTTACACATTTGTGGTGCAACACTTCATCAGGTAAACTCCAGTCTAGGAGGAGACTCCAGGCAACAGATTATTAAAACCAGTATAATCCAGGATGAACTTCCCCTTGGTTTTCCTAAATGATCAATAGGAATTGGTTATAACAGTAATGAGAGGGAGAAAACCGCTGGACCCCGCGGCCTAATTAAGCCCACATCTCCAGTGCATGGCTAATTAATAGTGGAGAGGAAATTAATGAAGAGATTGTGGCCTGCTGCTGACAGCCAGCAGGAGTAAAATGCAGCTACGTCAGCAGAGAGCCCTGCAGCACTCCAGGTGACTGCCAAAGCCTCCTTCGTCATTTAGACAGCACGCTCTAATCACAGTTCTTACACCAGACCACTGCCACATGGACACAGTGAAAAATATAGTCTGCTATAGATACATGCTAGAAGATCTGATCTCAAACCAGACTCTTTTAACTGCCAAACTCCATCTGCTGTTGAACCATCCACTGGGAACTGATCTCACATCAGTTCTTAAAATAACAGCCAAACTTTTCCTCAGTGATTCAGACACAAGCTAGAAACCCTGATCTGAGACCATATAAGCCTCAAGGCTACTGCCAGCGTCCCTCTTCATCACCCACAGAACCTGGAGCAGGCAAAGAACTAACAAGCTGCTGTCCATCAGCATGGAGTCCCAGCCACTGCCAATGTCCTGTCTCTGAACACACACAGAAATCCTGGGAGGAAGTTATTTTGTTGGACAACATGCTGCTAGTCACATTAAATCTGAACATCGGCCCCAAGAGACTCTATTAAGTGTGTGCAATGTAGTTTCAACCACTCTCTGTGTCCCAGAAACGTGTCATTTGGCAGTTCTGCTTGACCAGGAGGCCTGGAAAAATGACAGTGCTTCCTTCCTCTCTGTTACGGTGGACAGAATTCAAAGACACATGTAGAGAGGAACGCCACTGCACAGCGTCTGTACAGCTGACCTTACAAACAGGGCTGTCTAACATTCTACAGAAAAACTGTATAAAAGTCAACGCCATATACTACTGTATATCTCCCACTCCCATGCATGTGCAACAAAAACACACCGACACATACGCACCATCAGTCCAGGTTGGGAGAAATTGGCAGTGCTCAAGTTCAATAAAACCTGTGTCTAAAAAAAGTGTATTGCATCGTTATGCAGATTAGCTGAATAATTCAAAAGAAGGCTGTTAATGAAAGATTAGACCACCTCAGCAAATCCACAGCTCTGTCTACAGGGTTCAATTAAAAACGGATAAAAATCCAGTGACTTTTAAAACAGCCATTTAAGTGGGACTGCATGCATTAATGAAAGATAAATGCTCTTGCCCTGTGTGTACATGTGCAGGGTTTCTGGAAGAATACTAAGTGTAGCTATTGATTAAACTCTTTCCGGGCCCATCCTGAGAGACAAACTACATTGCATACTCTGGTCATTGCCAAGTTTGGCCAATGCAGGTTTTTAATGGATCTGGAAAGAACCCCCCTCCCTCTCTTCTAGTGTCCAGGGAACAAAGACGAATAGCTATTTTATTGCCCTCCTGGTAACACCTCTGCGCTCAGGTTTTCCTTTTTTCCCCCCCCTTCCTCAATCCTTTTCCATCTTCTCTTTGATGAATTAATATCACATTGAATAGCCAAGTCTCACATCTCACCGACTGTTCCCTTTTTAATCAAATGTGATTACAAAAGGCTGCTTCTGAAAGGCGAGAAGACATACTGGAAGTATAATGAGTGAGTGTCTGTGTGCGCTCACACATGTATCTTTGCTCTGCTCAAATAGGCTGACTTTCTCTGCAATTAAGTGACTCTCTACTCAACATGCGCACATGACTACCGCACTTCACATTCAAAAATTCATTGGGCCCTTCTAATCTAAATATTTGGTCAGATGTTTAGTGCATGCAAAATAAAAGCAAATTAAACCATGAAATGATGAATGTCCCTCGTTTAAAGTAAACACGCACGTTCATTAAAATGGCCACTCCAAACATGCTGCAAAATCAAAGAGAAATTGACTTTATTCCTATTTCTGACAATGACTGACAAATGACTGCATTCCAGGTCAAACATGGATAAGGCTCAGTGCAGGCCGTAGTTAGCCAGGCGGAAAATTGGAAATTTAAGCTACAGTGAGTCATTAGCTAAGTAAAATATGAAACAAAAAGCTCTGTCTCCCTGGAGAATTCTTTCTGAAGTCTAATCTCTCATTCAAAGTAAATGATTTCACTTCAGTGGATTCTGGAAAAACCTTATCATAGTTCATGCTAGCCGATAAAACTGACCATCTTCACCAAATTCACTTGTGCACTTTAGCGTAAAGAAATCCTTTCTTTATTTTCTATTATCAGTAGAGGCTCCCAACTATTTTCCCATCAACTTATCCATTTCATACCCACACCTCACCCCTCTCCATCTTGCCTCTCTTCCCCTCTTTCTTGAGCTGCAAACTCTGTAACTAATTGGATCTGGCATGGTCTGTAATGACTTTGCACTCTATGGGGAGCTTTGGGAAAAATCACCCTTCATTTCTTCTGGCATCACTCAAGTGACCACATACTGAACTCCAGTGACATATATTCCTCCACCCTGCACCCAAAGGGCAACGACAGCAAAATGTACAGGATACTGCTGATCTCAGGTTTGAGAAAGTCATATGGATATGTTGCCCTGGAGTGCACTTTGAGTCAGTGTATGCACGTATACATTTATCTTTGTATCTGTGTATATAAAATACGATCATAGTAGCATGGTCTCATTTTATTCAGTCAACCCTGAGTGTTTGTACAGCTAGCGGTTTTGGTCAGTAAAGGAAACACACAAGACATATTTTTCCCATCAAGCAATCAAGCAGAGAGCTGGTTCACAGCCACAGACTGAACTCCATCTCACATAAAACTCAATCTGAGAGTCTCCCTGTGTGTCAGTGAGAACAACTCACAAAATATCTGGTCTAAGCAAAGCCAGTATATCACTCAGACTTCTTGGTACACTGTTTTTTTCACAGAATTCAGTTTTTCAGCTTAAGGACTCACTCCTTGTGATATATTTGGCAGTAATAATAACTGATTATTGCAGTGCTTTTCACTGATGAAGGACTGTCGCACATCTCATACTTTTTGTGGTAACACTATTTATGATAAATGTTCTTGTTCTCCACAAAAAACTTGGTCTGATGACTTGGTTTTGAATTCAAGTGCATTTGAAGAGCGAGCTCCAGCTGGCAGCTGGGAAGTTGTAGCAAAATGTGTGGCTCCTCAGCGACAAGTTAACATACAACTTCAGGAGGGAGAAAAAATGCTTGCCAGGGAAAAGAACCAGTATAGAGGAACTTCTGACTCAACAAACCTTTTCCATCATGCCTGTTGCCTCCAGTCAAATTGAGCTGTCAGAGGCAATGGAGTTCTAGTCTAAATTCAGCATTGCTTGGTTGTAAGTAACTGTATGGGGCTTGGAAAATCAAGTCCACGGGCCAGGGACAATTTGTTTGTCACTATCAATTATGCCGAGGTTAAATTATTTTGTCAATACAAGCCTGTTTCCACCTCAGCATGTGTCCTGTATTAAATCACCCATGCTCCCTCTAAACACCATGTTGTGCCGGTTTGCAAGGTGTTTTTTTCCTACCTCTTTTTCTCTGCTTCATATCTGCTAAGGACACGCTGAAGACCACCACACTTGAAGCCTTGGAAGTGGGCTGCAGGGGCACCAACAGTAACAATGTCATAGAACGCATCTGTAAAGAAAGCAGATAGAGTTGATAGGATTTAAAACAGTGAGATGTATAATACAGCACCTTGGAAACCTTGGCACTAAAGGACCTTGAGGTGAGAAAAACAAGGTTCAAAAAATAAATTATACCCATCAAAGATACCTCGAATAAGTGTTATATCGATAGTTAATGGTTTTTTTTAATCTATATATATATTTTTGGGCTTTTTGGCTTTATTAGATAGAACAGCTGAAGACTGGTGCATGTTGTTCCCTTTCTGTCCCCCCTTTCCTGTAAAAGGGTCACAGGTTGGAGAAGGAACCATAGGCACTTCAGCAAGGACTCAGCCTAAGTACATGGGGCGCCAGCTCTACCAGGTGAGCTATAGGGCGCCCCTAGTTAACGGTACTTGACATGAGGGTTGATTCAGTATTTTTGAATATGCCATGGAGCGGTTCCAGGGCTTTAGTTCACATTAAAATGTCAAAGTCATGTCGTGGGGTTCCTGCAAGGTGTTCGTTTTTGTTACCTGCACACAGTATTTTTATGTTTTTATGCTACTTATTCACACAAAAGAGGCATGACATTCGTCTGCACTCTGCCACTATATTTGCTTTTAGGCATACATATTTCAGGTTGATTTATATTGTGTCAGTATCGCTCTATTACTAGTCACCTCTCCAGCTATCTTTCGGTCTTAATGTAGCATTGGTCCCATGTTGAACCAGAAGGACGGCCAATGTCGCAGCGCTTCATTCCAATTTGCACACCGCCGTCAAAAGTAAATAAACACTTCACAGACGGCTAGGCGGGCACAGAGGTGCTTACAACAGGCCTTGTTTTGAATGAGTAATAGATGAGGCTGACAATTAAATCAGAAAAAACATAGAGGAGGAAGAGGGGGTGGACAGGGGTTTATGGGGGTGAATATTTTGGTGTGGTTGAGTGCCAGGTCAGTTAATGAACACCTCCGGGAAAACAACAGTGCACAGCCCCGACCATAGGAAAACACTGCTTGAAAAATGGTTGAAAATAGAAATTAATGACACAGCACAGCTCCAAGTGTTGCCACAGAGATGTGAATGACAGAGTGGCCAACAGCCTCCCGTCCCCTAACAACACCACAATAGACCAATAGTGGTTTGATGTGGGGGCTTTGCTACTACCCACTGCTTCTACCATTAATTATCCTTGTGCCTGGCCATGAGGCTCCCTGTCCGCCACACGTTTGGCCCCTGGAGTTTTCAAATGTCCAAGTTCCCTTAATTGGTTCTCCCAGCAGCAGTATACTGAAACACAATGGCAGGTTTCAGAACATCAAGCACAATGACCAATTTGTGCTTGATTTGCCTGCTCTTCCTTTCACACCATCCTTCTCTCAATATATCAAGAACAGAACAAGATGTTTAAGCACAGTTGCTTTCTAAAACAGGAAATTGGATGTGGCAGTCAGGATGAGTGGTTATAATTCATACTTAACCCATTCCACAATCCTGTTTAACAATGACAAAACATCCTTTTACTTGACCCAAAAGAGTGCTGAACAATGCTTTCAGTTCAGCTTTGCCAAGCTGAGCTTTTTAGGCTGGAGATATTTTGCAGTTGTAATTTTAGAGACAGAAGACAGCCATTCCCAGCAAAACAAATGAACACTGTTTTGAGTTCAATGTGTTTTTTTACACCCGATTTCCTCTTCTTGCTGGATGATAAATAGACAAAATGAAAATGAATGGTTTAGCGTTGTTGAGTGGATTGCGTAGCCAAGCTCAGTGAAATGCATCACTTCAGAAAATCAAACGGAACAATAGAGCAATTGACTACTGTTGGAAATTAAGACTTGCCTCCATTAAGGAGCAGGTTCCAGTGTTTCCTGAGCCGGACTGATTGCAATCATTTATTCAATGTGTTTTCCTTTTTAAATCGAATGTGCAATGTGATAGTAATTCAGTAATTCACTATGAAACAAGATTATTACAACAAGAGCTGTTGGTTCAACTGTATGTTCATTTTGGAGTTTGTGGGGCTGGTGAACTGGTTGCATTAAACAGACAGGTTTCTGTTATTTAGCCTTCCCTCACTTATATGAATTCAGTTCTTCAAAATAACTCAATATGCAGTGTTTGCAAGTGGGAGGCCAGCGAGTGAGGGATCTTCTTACTCAAGACTTCAACTGGTTTGTCATGGCGTCTGCACGGGGGGATGGATAGGACCTGACTGAACAGTCTGAACTTATGTTCATGTGGTGCCATTTCATGAGGAAGTGCCATTGTTGCACTTGTCATTTTTTGTACAGCTCATACTTTAAACACCTGGAAGCTTATAACTAAACTGTTAAATGGGGACATTGCGCTTATATGCAATGCGTCTCAACCACTATGCCATTTGGTTCCCCCTCGTCTTCCTATTTAATAAAGAAAAAATATATTTTGATAAATATCGGTAAGAGATTTTTAAAAAATCTGCCCCTAATGTCTTTCTGCCACAGCACTGTCTTTAAATACCATGCACCATTAATTTAGATTACCCAGATTTCTTAATTAACATCATGAAGCTGATGGGAGCTGTATGTATCCTGCACGAGAGTCTAACTCCAAGCCCTAGTGTAGTATAGCTGGTAGAGTGTACACACACACACACACACACACACACACACACACACACACACACACACACACACACACACACACACATCAGCTAAAGCACCACTGCCTGGAAGTGAGTCAAGGTGTAGGCCCAAAGAGGGTAATTATCAGAGTGTCAATCAGTCAATTGACAAACTCCTCTAAGGCTTGTTTTATCTTGATTTTTCCCCCTTTTCAGCCTTGACAGTGTAAGACGGTTGCAGGGATGGATGATGACTTGATTTTACCTATTTTATCTGTCATCCCTTTTGTCTTCACTGAAAGAACCACAGTTTATGTCACGGTTTGTCTCTCTTCAACTTTCCATCAATCATTGAGTGTATAGTTGAAATGGAGCCCACTCACAGATAGTGAGGCAGCAGTTAGTCGCCTTAATACACTGAGACAGTTCCAGGCCAATAACAGGCTCTGCCAGCTAGAGAGCAGCGGCAGAGGAGACAGCCTAGTCTTTCTCTCCGGAGAAATGCAAAGGGCTTAATTAGTGTTTTGTCTATCTTTCTCAGGCCAAGTTCATTTTCACCTTTCAGCCTGTGTGATGACCGAGAACCACCCTGTCTGAGCCCTCTGCGTATCGCTGACAGATGGAGAAGTCAGGCATAGAAAGACAACAGCAGGTGACAACCACAGCAGACTATGGAAATGTGTTTCATATGGAACAACATTTCTAGAGGTGGCAGTCAGTCCATAGGGACTTAGCTTGGGAACCAGAGGGTGGCCGGTTAAAGTCCAAAGTGTTTTAATCAATATGTTTACATTTAAAATGTATGACAAGGGAAATAAATGTTACAATATGAAAGTGGGTTGCTTGTACTGATGAACCTACAGTGAATTATCACATGAGTCTATAGCTCCCATTGGCGAGTTTTATAGCGAGTTTTAGGTCATTGTTTTAATGTCGGGCCCACAACTTTACTGTTTTTGTTCTTTCCAACCGCTCCCATAGCACCGTTTGCAGCAGGCAGCTGTTTTGAATGGAAAAACTCTGACAAAAACTGTACACTACGTGTTTAGCACCAAATGGCAGAACAACATAGTGACTAGCTGGTTAACACAGTGGTGCATGGTAAACAGCTAAAGAGAGACTTACAGGTAGGCAGGGATTCGACTCCGAATTAATGATAATGTTGCTCAGTAATTGTTGTAAATAACTGTTATTTATGCTATGTCAATGTTGTGTTCACAATTTGTTTCAACTGTTCCCATGTGGCCAAAAGAGTCAAGTAATGGGTGTAATAAAAGGTCTAACACATGTCTAAGGTCATAGTGTAATACCTGTTTTTCTGGGGCACGTCACCCTCATCCTCTGGGTGTGCAAGTTTATTGGGATGAACTCCAGAGATTTCTGGGCTTTGCAGCAGCTTGGCTTGAATGAACGACCTGAAAAAAATGGAGACACAAGTATATGTCAGATTGCCATTAATTATCATTTGTGGAGGTTTCAAAGATGAAAATGAAAGCTTATTTCTGTTATAGACAGCCTTGACGTCTATACTACAACTATACAATGATCTTTCCAACATGACTGCTTTATATAGCTTTTCTCTTTATTACCTTGTTTTTGTGCTGAAGAACAAGGCACATGGAAATAGATTAGCAAACATTAGATAATAAATTGAATTGATGTTGAAATGTTCTCTTTGATTTTCCATAAAAAGAAAAGCCTTGTGCAACTGAATGACTTGAGATCTATTTAATGAACAACTGAGTGACAAAAGGGAATACATAGCACCAAATTAAAATCCATTTAAATTAGAGGTTGGAGAAGTAGCTGCACTGCAGATTCAATTATACATTATAAGGGTGTTGAGGATTTCACATCTTAATTGTCACAATGTTGTAAAATGGTGGCAAACAATGTATGAAATCAGTGAGTGGTCGCTTATTAAGTATGATGTCAGAATACTCAAATACAAAGTACAAGCACAATCAAAGTTTCAAATTAATAAAACCACATTTACCGTAAGAAAACATACTTGTAACATAAAACGAAACAAATTACACAAACACTATTTACTCGTACAAATTATACGTGGTTTGACACTGGGTTATGAGTAAAATTATGTTAAACCTCCAAACCATTGGGCTTTTAAATGCCCATGCAAGACCATTTAACACACAACATACCAGATAGAGAATGTATCAATTTGAGATCAACAAGCATCTCAGTGTTTTTCAATCAACTGTTAATGACATCCTCTAATGTGCAGTGTAATCCTTTAAGCACAGGATTGTATGCCCTTTGCAGCCTCTACTTTGCTCAAAATGGCCAATTAAAATTTTCTGCAAAATGATACTCTGGCTTATAGTTACGTTCAAAATTACAATCTGACACTCCATGTTGGCTGCTCAAATCTCAAATATGTAAATAGGATTGATGGGCCTCTTTGAGATTAGGCTAAGCTTTCAAGAACAATCACGCAACAGAAGCAATTTAGAAGTGTTGTGATGTTTGCCAGCAGAGGTAAGTCACTTAGAATGAAACTATTTGGAGCAGGTACAGAAGACCAAAAAGGGAACAAAAAGTTTTATATCACAAAGTTTCATAATCTAGTTTAGCATCAAAACTTTTAATTAAATCCTCTTTTAAGACACATGACTTTGAATTTCCTATTCAAGGCATTACTCTTGACTTACAAAACCAGTGAAAACCACTCTAGTGCAAGTTACAGGTTTTCCAGTTTGTATGCAGGAAGTTATTTCACTGTAGAAGTCATAGAGACCCTGATGGTGCTGAACCTGTCGATGTATTTTAATTATCCAAATTGTAATGTAACAATTACTGTAAATTAGTGTCATGGAAGTGTGTAAATATGCAAATACATGTGCGTGAGGAGTTTCACCTGTTCCTTTTTATTATAAGTGAAGTAGTTTTATGACTTACTGTTGTATTAGCCCTGACAAGTTTCCTCTCTTTATCTTTTGTGATATGTAGTTGGCTGTGTTGTGATCACAGAGATCATCTGACACACACCATTGTTGCCACTGGTGTGACGTCTTTTCCTTCAATTGTCTGTTGATAAAGTTAAATTCTTTTGCTGGCAATGATTGTCTGTCGTCTGGCTTATCATAATATCCACCCAGTTTTTCTCTTTTTTCAGATACGCTTTTGCTGATGTAGGAAAAACATCATATTATTCCTTTCAACCATAAGAAGTGAGTTTTTACCCCCAGAAAAACCTACCAAGGAAGAATAAACACTTTCATAAGGAGAGTTACATCAATTAACATTAGAATAGACAAACAAATATTATTTATTACTACTACTTTACAATTACCCATTAATACTGACATAACTGAAGGTATATTTATCATACCACATATGCATAACTGTAATTGTGTTTTTTTGTTTCTATATCTCAAATCAGAATCTTAATACATCTATGACAGCAAAATAAATATGAAGCAGAGACTTAATTTAATACTATATATTAAAGTTTCTCAAAAACACAAAAACATGTGACAATTGACAAAGCAACTGAAATTCTGCTACTATTTCTAAGTATTAAGACTGGCATTATTGTAGTGATTTGCTTGTATGTCACTAATAATTTTGTTTTTTATTCTACTGTTGTTAGACATTTCACAACTGAATTGCCATGATTTGCCCCTAGCACAGTTCGACCTGTCTATCACTGATAGATATAGTGTCATTGGGGCTTCTGTAATTGGTCACTGAGGTGATTCCCCTAGTAAACACCTCACCCTGTTATCAAAGAACCAGGGATAACATTAGGTAACCTATAGTTACTTAACACATTTAAAATGTGTGAGAGTGGTAGGACCGTATGTTAAGGTGAAGCACAATGTGTTTTTGTACTGTAGGTCATAATGTATGTTAACTGCAGCATATTAACAAAAAAGGCAACAGATGAGTATACACCAAAGCCTCAGTGCTACAGAAGGTTTGTGTTCTCATAGACTCTAGGGGCTCTATCTTGCACTCAGCGCAATTGACTTTGTACACCGGCGCTGCTCCCTCCTCAGCTGGCCCTTGCGCACTGCTCGGCCTGTGCGCACTGCTCCCGAGGCCATGGTCTTCTTCCTGTGAAGCTGTGTTTCATTGTTTGGATTTATTGTATGGCTGTGTTACATTTATTTCATGTCAATAATGTCACTTCTCGGTATTTCACGGCCCTGACGAGAACGTCGGTCTCCTTGGCTGTGAACCGCTCCTGGCGTGCGCCTGGCCAATCCGCCGTTATAATAGCAATACGCCATGGAACAAGCGCGCCTGCTTTTAAAGGGAATGTGAGATGACGCTCTGATTGGTTTATTGCACGTTACGCCCAAATCACACCTATGACTAATGTAGCTACTTCAGACCAACCCATTTTAGATTTGCGCTGGGCGCAAGAGTCATTTATCCCACCGGCATAATAGCAACAGCGCCCCAGATCCGCCCACAAAGCTACTTTTGCGTTTGATACTTGCGCTTCAGATCGGCAAGATAGGGCCCTCTGTGAGAAAACCTGTAACCTGACACAGATTTTTAACACCATTTGGCAGGTTGGCCAAACATAAAAACAAATCCACCGCACCTCCATCACTGTATATAATGCTGAAATTGCTAGCCCACTCAAGCTGAAATGTGTTACCTCAGAATCGGATAACACTTTTGAAAGTGATGTGGTTTATTATTTCCAAGCACTGAAAATCAATCATGTCTTCTTCCTATGGTGGTAGCAAATTTGCTGCTACTAATCAAAGTGCAAATATAAACAGATGCCATGTCTAACCACTGAATATACAATCTGTTGACTAAATATAGTGAAGACCAAAACATAAGCTCAATGTATAAAAATGTGTAGTTGAGATACAGTTTCAACAGTTTTCTTTCTGTCCCCAGATGTGCTGTATTTACCAAGCAGATGCAGGGCGGTGGCTACTATGAATGTGCAGGAACTGCGTCTGTAATGTTACCCTAGCACAAATCTAAGATGTTTTTGGGAATGTCCACATTGTCCAGTCGGCAACAGTTATAATCCCCCGATGTTAAATACTGGAGCTCCGGAATACTTAGCCAATTGCTCGCAACCATCTCTGCTGCTGCCTTGATAAGACAACAACAGTAAAGAAATTCCCGGGAAAATAGTGGGCACGCTGGCAGGGCACTAAAATCCAGTATGGACATAGATTTGGCTATGCGAAACTAGGGATGAAGACACACGATCATCATCTCCAGGACAGTCGGAAACCACATCTCTGCATGCTCAGCTGTGACACATAGGCTATTATGTCTACAGCTACGCTACTAGCAACATAATTCTGCTTTTAGCTAAATGCTAGCTGCATGCTAACATGCTCACAGTGACAATGCAGTCATGTTGATGTTTAGCGGGTAATATTTACCAGGTTTTCCATCGTAGTTGAGCATGCTAACTATCATTTGCTGCACTAAACACAAAGTAAGGCTGAGACCGAGGGGATTGTCATTAGTTTTACAGGTATCGGGTGATGTAACAAAGTATTGGGCAAACTGAAACCGACCAGATGATGGCGGTAGATCAAATGTCAAGAGGACCACCAAAGTCATTAGAATTTATCCTTTAGGGACCTTCAATATTTGTAACAAACACAGCAGTCCATTAAATAATCAAATGTCAAAAACCAACCCTAACCCATTTCTGTGCTAGGGGAAGCTGTTTCCAAAGGGTAACATTCAAGTCAATGACTCGACTGTCATCCTGTTCGGTGGGTTCTCACTGTTGGCTGTAGAGCTCTGGGGATCCGGCTAATCGAGCTAGTGACCGTTGTAGGTTAGATGAATTAGTCATATCAGTTCCCCATCTGTTTGCCCAGGTGGGCCGGCTATGTGACAGAAGGGCCGGTTGCCAGCAGTACTGACCAACATCTGCCCACTATCTCTTCTTTTAATCCTTTCTGTCATTTCTTTGCTCTTAGCCACTTTTCTGTGCTCTTTTGAATCCGTCAGAAGATGAGCAACCAAATATCCTATGCTTTTAGAAATTCCTGTCTGGGTGCCCGAGGACAAGCTGAGAAGAAAAAAGATCACCAACGGCAGCAACAGGCACTAGAAAAACAGTAGTTTACAAGTGAGGTCTGTCAGATCAATGCAGGTCTTTTATGGCATGTTAAGGGTTTTATCTTCATGGTCCTGTGGCACTGAGAGCACAGCAGGGTTTTTCAATCAATCCACAGTTAGATGTGTGTTGTAGACATAGAATAGAATTGGACACATGCTGTGTGAGCAAGTTGGACAAGTGAATCATGTCTGACAGTACAATGTTTTTTTTATGACTTTCATTCAATTTATGTCTTTTAACATTTTGGCCAACATTTTTAAGTGGCTTTTCTTGAGTATTACTAAGACGAATCTTAACCGTGGTAACCTGAAAAAATATCTCTGCACTCCACAGCTGAACATCTTTACCTTGAGGCAACAGTCTGCAGAGACTACTGTTCTTATATAGATATTAAAGAGAGAAACTAAGATATGAGCCTTAATCTACAATACGTAGCTCTGGGCCTTAAGCTGTAGTTATCCCATAAGTGGAGTTTAAGAGTGACTGACAGCTTTGTGCAGAGAAGTGCCAGCAGCATTGGAGGTCCAACAAACACTATGTTAACGGGATTACATCTGTGCCTTAATTCGCCGGCTGGTAAACAATGGAAGACGGGATGATTAATTTATGAATGGAATACAGTTATTAGAGCATCTGAAGTGTTTGCTGAGGTCAGCTCATCATTAAAAATGGATAAAATGGAATCATTGAGGGTGCTGAACCTGAAGATGGGGACTGCCTCAGTCTCTCAGTGGATGGATTCTCTGCTTCTTCTACTACCTGCAGTTTCTCCAGATTTTTGTTCTTCCAAAACAGAATTGAATAAATAACAGATAAATTTTAAAAACCTACGCCTGACCCATGAAATGCGCACAGAGCACTAATTCTTCTTTTGTACATGAAAATCCCTCTGACTCAGGATCGACCTTACATTATGTGCGTCAGCCAATTAATATAAGCGTATAAATACGGAATCCTCAGAGCCATGTGAAACCAATTATTTCGAAAACAAAAATGTAACTTTAAAGCGTGGGTGCACTTTATATTTTACATCCTTCCATCAATTGTGTATTGTTATTTAAAGACCATACTGATACATCCCCTAAAACAAATAAATTGTATGTACAAACAAGAAATAATCTGTCCAGTTGTGTACTTACATGATCCCAAATCAACAATGTTAAAATCCAGAGAAATCTGTAATGTTATTCCAGTAAGGGTGGCTTGCGGATATGTCAGACAATGAGGGAAGGAAGTTGGTGAGCATGACTAAACTTAACATGAGTAAAACTTAAGTCATCCATGAACAATTTCTTCCTGAATCATGTTAGACCGGTTTTTATCAGCAATGGTGGTAAACAATGAAGACAACTTCCATGATCACACGCTGCCTCACAATGTCATCCAACTACATCTTTTGCTATTGTTTTGATGTGAGACACCCCCTAGCGGCAGAAATGACCTACTGTACATTTTAAGAGGACAATGATGCATTTTACATTATATTCTCTTGTGACAACCACTGAATAGTTTTATTTTTCACTGTTTGTTTAGTTTGAGTAATTATCTTATATTTGTCTCCCGTCTTTTCTCACCCACTGGTCTTCACTCTCAAACCACCTCCACACACTGTCTCTCTTTCTCTACTCTCCACCTTTTTTAAATGATATTACTTATCAATGATTCATCTGCAGCAGTTTGCCCACCCAACTTGTTTAGCAATGTCTATCATCCTGTTCAGTTCATGCAAGGCTGGATTAGCGTGGTGAGTTGTGCAGGGGCTCCTTGGGGCTCCTCTATGTATTTCAGCATCTGGGCCACACAAAGGACTTGACAGGAACCATAATGACTAAGACCACATAATCCATTCCCCTTGCCCTTAACCCCCTTTCTTAGAGCTTGGGCGGGCAGAGGCTTTGCCACCATCATCTCTTATCAGCTTGGCAAACGAAAAAGCAGCAAAGACAAATATCTCATTATGGGGCTGAGAGCAAATCAGAGTAAAAATAATCAGTCATAATGTTTGTATGTTAATAAGCTAATATATGCATAGGAAGAGATTATATGGAGAGGAAAAGACACACATCCTGCTGTTGTAGTTAATGTTTCTGTTTTGTTGTTGTTAAGATGTTCATTAGTAATAACTGAATGAGTTTAGTTGAGGACAGAGGCAGTTAATTAAGGTACAGTATTACAAACACCTAACATCTGTTGTTCTGTACAATAAAATGAGTTTGTGTCTTTTAGGGTTTGTACAAGTATACAAGTACATACAAGGACAATTTCTACTATATATACAGGACAGTGTACACTGTTGGTTTCATTCTGCTTTTGAGTAATGAAACTAAACAGAATCACCTACATATTTCTAAATACATTTCCAACACCCCCATCATCAGTGACATTCTGTGGCTTTATCACGTGTCCACTGTTTCCTTGTTCAATGTCAGAGGCAAATGAGAAACAGCCTAATTACTTTCTGTGTTCACATTAGAGCTAATGGAGTGGATTAATTTTATTATGTAAAACATTTGCAAAAAGTGTGCAAAAAATATTTGCATAGGAAGTAGAACACTGACTATTTGTAAATGAGATGCAAGACTCATGTTTTTGTTTGCACATGGCTTAGATTTGTAACCGTTTTCATGTGTACTGCAAACGTTTACTTTAAAAAAACACAGAAGAGCACATTGGCATATGTTTCAATTGTCCCCAATGCAACCTATGGTATGGAAACTCTTTGACAGCAAGTAGATAAATGAAAAAACTAAAGCTTACCATTCAGTTCACACAGAATCCACCCTTCTACTCAAATTTGTCTCCTTTTTTTGGACTAAACCTAACAGGTCAGTGGCTGCTGCAATATTTTGAGCTGTTATAACAGAATCAACGCGGTGACAGGTCGGGCCAGACTAGAGACATTATATACTTCACTACTTTAATTACTCCCATCATTTCTCTATATTTGGGGACCACACATTACAGTAAGAGACTACTTTCACCAATACCAACACTGTTTTTTTACAGAGAAAGAAATCTTTATTTGAATTTACAGAAACGACAAAGAGTTGGTTGATTGATAAGGTATGCAGTGCCATCTGCAAACTTTAGCCAGGTGCTCTCACTTATATATATATATATATATATATATATTTTTTTTTTTTTTTTTTTTTTTTTTTTTACAGTGCTCAATGTTGACTTTCAATCCCCCAGAAAAAGAAGCATTTTCATATACTCAACAGAAAACCTGAAGACAATCACATTTAAACATAGACTATGGAACCAAGGACATGCCAAAACCCAGTGTGTTTAAATGATTTTGAGAAAAACACCACTGTATGCATGTGCATCAATACATGTGTGGGCACATAGGGTACATGAATGTAAACTTTAGGAGCAGGTGCAGTCATACCAGTAATCTTGTCCAGTTCAGCCAAAGTCTCCTGGTAGGAGCTGATGATTCCTCCATATCGTGTCATCACCTCTTTTCTTAAGTTGTCCCAGTGAGGAGACAGCTCCCCCAGCTCCCTCAGGTCCTGTACCCTGCAGATAAACACAGATCTCTGAGTACCTTTGTGGTTTTAATAGATATTAAACTCTTCATCAATGAAATTCACAAATCTTGGCTTGCTTGCTGTTTCAGCTTAGCTTCAGTGTTTAGGCATAAAAAAATCTAATTTAAGGGAGAAAAACTATTAAATATTATTGTAATGCTACATCTGGTGTTGGGTCATATCTGTGCTTCCCAAACCCCTTTAAAAAGCCTGGTATAACAAACACAAGCTTGCGCACACTGAACCAGACACACACACAGTAACATCCCAAAGCACCCTGTGCTTGGCCAGATAAACACATTTCTGAACCTCAGGCTAGTAGCTGGTGCCCACTTATCCACTCTGCCCTATCAAATTCTTCCCCCTGCTCCTACCATTCTTCTACCACTACTTATGAAATAGTCTTTACTGGTGCCACTGGGGCGATCGGTTGCCTGTCTTTCATCAAGCTGTGCCTGCAGGCCAAGGCCAAATTCATCTGTGCTCTTTCTTCAGGAAATAATAATGGCCGTGCATGAGTGTGTGCATGTGTGTGTAGGTGGGGGCCTGATTTCCTACTGGGTTGTACAGCCTGGTTCGTCATTTGCATGTGAAAGGCAACATCAGATGGACAGATATCATTCAGAACCCAGCCCTCCAGCGTCCATTGAAAAGTTAATTGCAGTGATATTACAGAAATTAGAGGTTGAAGGGGATTCAATATAGTATTCAGGATAACAAATACATGGTCATATGCATTGCTTTCATGATAACAGGCCCAATTTTCAGTGATTACACCTCATACATTTTGTATACTGTACGACTTCAAATGAAAGCCTGCATGCACAAATGCTCATTGGTCCGACTTATTGTTAAGATCAGGTATAATTGCTTGAATGCATAATGTAGTAGCTGTTTCTTTGTTGTAGTTCAACTACTACAACAAAGTATTAGGTGCTGAAAGCCTCTCCAGACTATTTCCAGGTTTCCTCCAGGTAAGTAAATTATTTACACATTACTTTTAAGTACACAGCAGCGATAAAAATGGTGCCAGAAAGAAAGACATAGTGATGGTCATATGTATGATCAAATCCTACATATCAAAGATTTTCTCATGTATCTTTCGTGGTATCTAGCCATGTGCTATGTGGTGGTACACAACATCTTTTTTAATCCTGTAAGCACAAACAGCTACACTGATATATTGGCTGACATAAGCTTAAAGGCCTAGTGTGTAGGATTTAGTGGCATTTCTTGCAGATTGCAACTCCCTTGCTTCCCCCTCCTCTTCTAAGTTCAAAGAAGAAACTATGGTGGCTACAAAATGTGCAAAAAACATAAAGGCCCCTATCTAGAGGCCGATTTGGGTTTTTCCCCTCAGGAATACTGTGGAAACATGGTGGTTCAGCAGAGTGGACATAGGTGACCCGCAGTGTCTAAAAGGGTCATTCTAAGGTAACAAAAACATAATGATTCATATATTCAGGTGATTATACACTAATAAAAACATATCTATGAATATTATATTCCATACCTCATGGTATGATGTTACCATGGTTGGAAGGAAAGAACTGAAACTTGTCACGTTACTGCAATTAAGTAATTTTCTGGATACTTTTATGAGTGTTTTGTCAAGTTTGTATTTTCCTCCTGGCTCCTGAATGGGCTTAACATTTATATGCAAACCTTTCTGAATCTCAGGCTGCTGAGACAGAGCATGCTGCACTGCAGAGCTCTGGAGCCAGCTCGCGATCTGCAGCGACTGTTGTTTGTTTTATTTTGCCTGTGCAGCACCACACTGACCCGAACAGCGCAGGAGTTATTTTCGGGAGTATTTTAGGGACCAATGATCTGGAGATCCTGGAACCAAATGGTGACAAATTAGGCCCTTGCCTGGCCGTTTGTTGTCTTAGTTTGATCGATTCCTAGAGGGGGAAGTTAGTATTGTCACTCCCCACTCACTGCTGTGCTGAACTTGATGTTTCCTTGTGGGGAGCAATGGGATCAGAGCCCAGATGCCAAACATTGATAGTATACATTTTCTAAATTTACATAATAGTATATTCCACATGACATAATAAATTGCAGATATATCTACATCCGTGTATATGTTGGCCGATAAGTTACAAGAAACAGAAATACCAAAATTGGTTTGTCTCCATTACATAATTTGGCTACCAGAGAGCACTGACAAGTAGAGTTTTCAGTTAAAATTAAAAAACAAAATGTTATAAGATTTAAATATTAAATCTTGATATCAGTATCTGCCTCAAAAACATCAACATCTGGGTAAATTAAACCAAAACAACCTGCTTGGGTTGATAACACTAGAAGTAACACATGTAAAACAGGTTTTCCTTCATAATTTTGGTGACAAGACTCACCACACTGCATTTTGCCATTAGCTCAATGCATAAACATACAGCAAACATTTGCAAATTACTAGAGAATATGCAGTTTTCTAGCAGGCTAAAAACAACTAAACTAGCTTTAAAAGAATGGTAGATCACACATAAGATATTTTCCTCATCTCTTGCCTCTTTCTAGTTCTAAACAAAACTGCAGCTGGAAACAACCTCAAGGCAGAGAGGTGCCACATGCTGGGCAACTCTGCCAACATGCTCTGCAGGTGGTTGTAAGTAAGTTATGCTTATGGCATAGGAAGATAGATAGGAGGCTTCCTCACAAAGTAAGTACATTCCAGATTACCATGAGCAAAGGAATTTACACCACCATGGGCAGCAGCACTGGCATGCATGTGATTTCAGGTTATATGAAGAAAACATTGTTTTTACTTTTGGCATATAAATAATGCTTGAGGCCATTCTTAATTATAAAGGGATTTAAACAGAGACAAAAGCTGAATATACACTTTTATTCAAAAGGTGTTGTGTGCAATAGTCCCAGAGATGAGATTAGTGAGTCGCTTAACGTTTTTTTATTTCTCCTTTCGTATTTGAAATGAAAACAAAGAAAAATCTAGCATCAGAAACAAATTACTAAGATAAAAAAATATAATCACTGCACTTTCATTGATGCATGCTAATGGAAGCCTTAGGCCGAACAAGATTATGATATCATGATGACAGCAATGAGGTCTGGGTAGGGCCCCACATTTCCCCCTGGTTTCAATCAAACATACTGTTTCCAGCATACCTACTTCAGTTGAAGTGGCCCCTAATACTGTAAATGGCTCATTTTAACCAATCAAGTGGCGATGTGTCTAATTTTCTGGTATATATAGCAAATGGTACATGGTGCTGTTTAAGAGATTGCAGCCATTTACAGTGATCTATATCCTCTGAGTATACCTCTCAGCCACTGCTATTTGGGCATCACAGTGTCAAACCGCACTTTTGTCTCCTGAGAGATCTGTTATTTTGTGTCGGGAAGTTTGGAGTGGAGGTCAGGATGGACGATCCCAGTGTAAATAATAGGCTTAAATAATAGAGAAACACATCTGCTTGCTAAATGAGGGTGATAAGGCAGTGGGATGGCGGATAGAGGGATTTAGTATCACCTCCTTAATCAGAGTGCTATTGTCTGGAAAGAGTAAAGGTGTGATTGAGGAAAGGCGTGAAAGGAGATAGGGCAGGTTGATTAACTATATGCATATAAGAAAGGGTCACAGCGTCAATCAAGTCTTTTAGTATTACATCTAACTGCAGACGTTGGAAAAAAAAGTCTTATAGTTGTAGTTTATACATAAGAAAGTATCTGAGAGTTTTTTCATTTTGTTTGAATGCTCAAAGTGAAAACGCATTGTGAATGTAATATTTAATATTATACAGTAGGATCTAATTATTTTTTACATGGTTTAAATGATCTAACCTGTTTCATGTATGAATACTGTACTGTGCACTCAAATTGGGCAACATATTTTGTTGGTATCAGACAGAATTGTCAACTCATTACACTTTATTTCCATCTTCAGACCCTTCAGAAAATCAGTCAACTTGGTGGACTGGGCAAATTCGAGACTCTGGACCTGGGAAACAACGTATTTGGTTTAGTTTAAAAATATTAAGATGCCGTGTACATACTCTTCTAATATTGTATCCTGTGGTGAGAATTAACCCCTTTTCCTTATATCTGTTGTTGTTTATGGATGATTATTATTTTGTCAGTGGTATTGTGTTACTGTTTGGGGTTTGTTGACATTACTCATATAGTTGATAATGATCTTTAAACTTTTATAGGGTATGTTATGTTGTTCTTTTCTGTTCTGGATGGCTGATTCCTTGGTCCTTGGATTGTTTGTCTGGATTGATTGTCTGTCGTCAACAGTGTGGGAGCAGATTTTTGTTACATATTCTTCATGCTGAAAGAAAGTGCTTCCAAAATAACTCAAAGTATTTGGAACAATGCAGTACGTTATGTAGCTCAGCTGATTACACTTCCCAAACAATCACAAGTTGAATTCTGCCTTTTCACTATGACATAAGAAATTAGTAGATAAGTAGAAATAGAATAGAAATATGATGATAATGGATGGAAGGTAAAGGGAAAGAGGCATACTATTATTAAAAATGTACATACACTACATACAATAATAATTTGGATTTAATATAAAGACATACAGTAGTTGATGCAGTTTAGTAATTTATTTTGACTAAAAAATGATGCAGATAAAATGAAACAATGGACAAAAATCAAGAAGAACCATGTGTTATAACTGGCCTGGACAGATGGCTTGGAAAACAGAATACATTTCCTAAAGAGCAAAGACCTGTCATGTGGGCACCTTTATTTCATGGTGCGTTATAGTGCTTGTTCAATTTAATCACGGAGGGCTTTGTGTGTGGGGTCAATAAAAACTGCGTGAGAGGACTGAAAAGCAAACCCTTCTTTCACAACACATGCAGCTCATTCTGAAGAAAAAATAAAAATAAAATAACAGCACCATCCAACAAGCACATTCATTAATTCTGATCCTTATTGTACAGAACAACTGGAAACAGTGAAGCCGAATGTCAAAATGTCCCTTATAAGGATCTTGATACACAATCACAGCACTTGTTTATTAAGAGGAAAAGAAGGGGGACATTATTTTTTCCATTAATGAGAAACCAGACAGCTCTTAATGAATGGGGTTTAATCGACACCCACACACTGACACTTTACTACACACGCATTAATTTTCTTCACGTACACACACGTAGGAATCACAGCATCTTCACTGGAGGAACGAAAGAAAATCAGCCACCTCTGTGTTTGCAGAGTGAGATTAGAACATGACTGTAGACTTCAAAGCGAACAAACAGAGGGAAGAAACATCCAAGCTTATCATACAGTGTTGAAGCAAACTATGCCACCCACCATCCGACGCTGCACTCGCAACTTTGCAGCACTAACTGAATCATTAAAAACATCCAAGAGTGTGAGGTTGGCTGACAGGATCGGCTAAATGGAGAGGCACCGTGGAGAAAGACAACATTTAAAGAGGATTATAGGAGAGGTGCTTAAGCGACCAAGCTGGAGATACGGTACACATGCCTGTTAATAAACAAACATTGTATATGGTTGTCATGGTTTGGAGCCTGCTGTGTGCTTCATGAGCTGTATTATACAGATAAGACATTTTAATAAATATTCTATAATTGTCTTCTAAATTTAGTTGATTTAAATGATCAGTTTGCATAGCAGATCAGCTTCTATTTAAACAGAAAGTAGGGTTGGAGATACTGTGAGAGGACACGTGGGAACCACGGTCTGGGAATGTGAACGGATTCCAGTACATCTGTGTGACAGGTAAACTGATAACAAAGCTTGTCTAGTCAATAATGGCTGTGCCATTGTTTTTATGAGTATGTGTGCGGTGGATGGTATGACTGCAGTTGTGTGTACGTTTTTGGATGCAAATGTGTCCTTGAACTCCGTGTGATCCTTTAGGTGCACACAGTGATTACAAATCAAACTCTCCTCCCACCAGCAAGTTCATCAAAATCTCTGATTGCATCTTTTTGTGGCTATTCCTTGGCTGAAGTGAAGTTGTATTGAAAGAAATCCTCTTAAACTGTGTGTGCGTTCGTGTGCATGTATGGATGAGTCTGTGTGTTATGTATGAGAAGGGGTTGCCAGGGACAACAGGCCAGTTGAGTAATGATCTGCCTTGACAAACACTGGTCGAGCCTGAGGGAAGAGACTCTTTGATCTAATTACGGGTGCACACTCAGAGACTACTGAAACATCACCTCCTTCTGACCTTGTTGTAACCTGTCCTCATTCTCACACAATATTAACTGGACTGGAATTTAATTGCAGTTATGCTCTTGATTTCTATAATGTTCTGGTGCAATTTTATATGTGTTCATAACATTTTTGGCAGTTTTAAGTATGTGAGGGAGTAATGGAACAAGAAGGGGATGTCTTAGTGAGCTGCCGGAGATGCAGGCTCCTCAGAAAGATAACCAACTTTACTGTGACCTGCAGTCGTGTGGAAACAGCCTGCACTGTAAATAATATAAAGTAAAGTCAGACTGTTGTTGCTCATGACATGATGGAAAAAGGCCAATTATTGACTGACTTCTTTATTAAAACATAAGTCTGTTTGGCTCTTCTGTTCTATTTCTGACAAAATGGCTGCTCCGGGGAGTGTTTGAATTCAGGGGCCTGTAGTGTTAACCTACACTTGCTGTTACTACAAGTAACTGCAGGTTTTGCCAAATTAAAAAGGATTAAAATCTGAAGAATTATAACTTTAAAGTTTTTGTCTGATTCAGCACTAGTGGCAGGATGTTCCAGGGGCCTTCTTACAATGCTTGGCGAGAAACCTTGGAAGAAGGTGTGCATGAGTGTGTGTTTGACAATGTTTGTCGTTTTCTGGATACATAGGCACAGGAGCCTCTTTTGAAGTGTTAAGCAGATCTGAATAATTCAGTCCTCTCCAAATATAGGCGGAACTTTTAAATAATCATTTACATCGGTGAACTAGGTCGGGAAAGACGTCTGGAAACTACACACACCTACTGTACGCATAATGAGGTAACAACTGGTTGGAGTTTTACTTTTAACTTTTGATTGTTCTCCATTGGCTGGTTAGTTTATGCCTGCATAAACAGGAAATGAGCTATCTGATGCAATGAGAAAGCTGGCAGTGACATCCACAGGATCAACAGTATGATTTCAAAGTGACTTACCTGCTCATGTCCTCCTGAATATACAGCGAGAGCAGCTGTTTAGGGACGCTAAAGGACAACGTGCACTCCTCCATTTGTTCCCGCACAAGCATCCACTTGCTGTCCACTGTTTGAAATCTGTACACTTTGCATACTGGGTTCTTGAACACTGTACAAGGGACACAAAGGAAAAGAGAAGAAAGGTATATTGAATCATCTGACGCAGCAGAAAATGCATCACATTCTCATCAAAGATGATTCTAAAATGTTAAAGTTTACAAAAAGAAAAGAGAGGATCTAAACCAACTTTGACAGCTGGCTACGTCAAGGAAGCTACAGACAGAAACTCTTCAAAAGTTGCATGAGGTATGAAGCACAAATTAAATTCTATAATCAATAACTTTGTCTGCCATAGATAAGGCGTTTCTCATCTTACAAGTCCCTCTCTTTCTCTCTCTCCCTCTTTCTACTTCAGTGGCAGCACAGAAGACAAGAATAGACTGAAAAACAAAGACCTTGTCCTGTTAATCTTTGCCATATTATTTCCTCCATTTCCATTTTAATTGCTTGTTTATTGTACAACACTGGGGCAAAATCATTCTGAAACTATCCTTGCTAACCCCACCACCCAGTTCTTCCATTAAAACCTATTCATACGCAGCCCCATCTTCTTCAGTTTTGCAGAGAGTGGCTAATAGCAGCAATCGAAGGCTGGAAACGAAAAACAGCTCTAATGCTCTTATCTGCATGCTGGCAGCAGAGGGCAAGAAAGCTGTGCGCCTTGAACACTGTTTACTACCCCTTTTCCTTTCCAGAGCTGCAGTCATAAAGGAAGTCACTCAGTAAGTCGGAGCTGAAGCACCCGGGGTGAAGCGTTGACAATCTCGCTCTAGGCAGTCAAACATGGCATGGTACCAGTAAAATGTTTTTGCTTGAATTCAAAAGTGGGAGCCACACTTCTGCTCCTACTGACAGTACAGAGAATGCTCCCACTACAAAACCCTTTATACTGTACTGTGCCCCAATCTGGCCCCAGATTGTGCTTTTTTCCAAAGTCATCTATCTAAGTGCCCAAGTCATTAATCCTGGTGGTGCTACGTCATTAGTCCTCAAGTGTTCAGTGATGCCCTTCAATGCAGATGGGTTCAAGAAGGTGCACTACAGCGGGAATTCTTATGTAGTAAGAGGATAATTATATATGATGCAATGTCATGAAGTGTGCTGACTGTCTGAATATTGGGCAACCATTTGAAATCAAAACAAGAAACTGGCTTGTGGAAAGTTTAAAAAAAAAAAAGACAAATGTGTCTTTCATGGAATTTTTTTTTAGCTTTAGCTCACATTATTACATGCTTTCCTGTCAATATTCGGTAATGTTCTTATTTTCACTAAATCCCATTAAAAACAAACAATGAATGAATTCTACCAACAAGCATTGTCTTTGTAGAAACAAGTCTAATGTACAGTAGTTCATTCATGTGTGGCATAGAGGTCATTTTGTAAGATTTGTTCATAATAATAAGATATAAATATAGCATATCAAACTTTTCTTTTAAAGGTAAAAACTATGCATGATTAGCAAGATTAATATACAACAAAAAATCCATATACAGTAACAACAACAAGCGCCTTAGAAATGAAGCACCATCTGGTATTATACTGAAAAACAGTATATTCTGTCACTGTTTAGAACATCTTGTCATTTACAACAAACACATGTTCAACATCAAAACAGCAGGAATAGCTTGAAGATATTTTATTAAAACAACTCATTTTAGCTGAATTTCTTCTTCTTAAACATATGCAAAAACAAAGGATACCCCATAAACGCAGTCACATGCAGGCAATAGAGATCCTCTGAAGGACAATAACTGTAAGATGAACAGGCTATAGAGAGGCTTATTATTATTTTTCTACGATGCTAAAGTTGATGTTAAAATTAATGATGATTAAGGTTATGCCTGGCACTGGAATGACCCCAGAAAGGATTCATAATTGAGAGTAAATGAAATGGGATATTCAGCCATTGTTGGCATGGGGATTAGAGAAAGTGGAATGGATGACAAAAATAAATGGGGAGCAAGGGACACATGGAGAGAAGGGGGTGAAGGCACAACCTTAATCGGAAGAGCGACAGTTGCTGACTTCCACCTTCGTCAGAGAAGCAGATTAACCCCTGAACTCACCCCCGCCACCAGACTAATCTGACCACCAATCAGAAGCCTCTGTTTCCCTTCCCGACACCTCTTAAGAAAATGACTTCCCCGAGACGTGCTGTGCGTAGGCTACCCTATCTCCCTGCTCTCTGCATGCTCATTTTGAAAGGTAATAAAAGTGGAAGACTAAATTGCATTACTCAATCTGGCGGGGTCTGCAGGGAGGGTATTGCTTTGACGGGCTGCAGATGTGCACCTGCAAACATGGTTGCAGTTCACTAGCTAATTACAGTAGAAACAGTAAGCGACAATGACACCATAACAAGAGGCGTGGGGTTGCTGGGGAGCTTAGGGAGGTGGTGGGATTCTGGATAAAAGAGAAAACAGATCTGTGGAACAAATGAATGCACGGGATGAAAAAAGGAAGCTAGTTTCCCCAAGTCTCCAATGAACAAGGGCTGTGAAGTTTCAACACAGCAGGAGTCGTGACCTTTTCAAGTCTATCCCTTTTCTGTCTACATGTCTTTCATTCTCTCTCAACAATTCTCTCTTTCTCTACCAGAGAAAGAGATAGCTTTCAGTGTCGCCACTAAATTGGTCTCACGCAGCTAGCAAGGCATCTTTTGCTCGTCTTCATTTAGTCCACAAAGAACCAAGAGGGTTAACCTTATTGCGAGATACCGCCCTCTATTCTTCCCCGGTGCCTAAAAACACCAAGACTGCTGTTTAATAAAAGCAGGAAAACAAATTCATTATTCAATTTCTTAATATATATTAATAATATACCCCTGATTCATTTTGTTAATGGAAAGGATATTCAAGGGCAGTTCAAGGCCAATTAGACACATGTCAACATTAAGGGACTTCTGGTTGAAGGAAGATGTTAACTAGCACCTTTTCTGCACTACAATGGAGTCTAGATTAATTATTTTAAGCTTTCCTTTGAGGCCACAACAACAGAGTAAAAATATTTTTTTTTTTTGTCATGAGTGGACAAAGAAACAAAATGTACAGAAATAAGAAGAAAGGAACATTAAAAAATCCCTTCTTTGGCCATTTCCAAGTTATTTAGCAATTATTTTGAAATTATAGGTGTTCAGGGTGTGAAACATACCCGGCCCTGTTAGTGGGTTATTTTCTCTGTCGATGCAGGCATGGGACGCAGACTCACAAACCATGGGACACTGAAAAGGAAAAGAACAGAAGGAGAGAAATGGAAAGAGAATATTACTTGACATCAAAGTGTTGCTTTTGAGACAACAATATGAGGAGCAGATGGGCGTTGATCATGACTATTACACAACACCCATAAACCAAAATTTCATCTCACAGCTTTGTGGCAATTTAAGTATGACAATCCCAAGTTAGCTTTGTCAGTCAATATAACTAACATTATTATAACAATAGTGTCCAACCTGAGTCAGCAACTCTCTCAAGTTGTGTGTTAAATTCAACTAGTTTAATTGAATGTATGTACTGTATGCTTATACAAATACTACATTAAGACTAGACCATATATGGAACCACACAAAGCAAACAGCTGCTGCCCTGCTTTCTTTAGTTTAGGTCCTCAAGCATGTTTCTCTTGTGCCTTCACTGCAATCAGTGAAGGCACAGCAGGTGACAGCTGAAGGAAAACTCCTACTGTGACTTTATTGACTGGGTTGGTAATTTATTACCTTCACTGCCATTTCAGTCTTTATCAACCTGGTGTTCTTTCCTCCTCTGATAGTACATTTCTGTTTACAGACATATAGTACAGAAACAACATGTTCATTAAGGTGACATTAACCGTACAATAGGTTTGTACAGTACAACCGCAGGTTACAGAGCAAATTAGATAATAAAAGAAACAACAAGAATACCTTCCTGCTCTGTATGTACGCTCTTGATTTATAGCATCTTACCTAATACAGATGGGGAACCACACAATTTTAATCATTCATTTACAATGTGTTATTGGGCAGCAGACCCATTATTTATAATGTGCTTATTGCTTATTTCAGTGAACCGGGGCGAGAACTCTGTCATAAAGAAGAAAATCCACCATCATACTACATATACTGTTCAATTTAATTCAGGAGAATTTTTCTAAATTTTCCTTTAGTATTTTGAATGGTTTACACATGGATAAATGAACTACAATTGATTGTTTGCAAGCTCCCTTTATTACTGTAAAATTTGCACATGGCACATACAGAGTTTAAAATGAAAACAGTGACAAAATTCTACCAGATAAAAGCAGCTTCTCATTTCTGGACAGCAACTGTCGATTTTGACAGTTGAAGTAACAACTGTCGCTGGAAGATTTTTATCAGCTCTAGTTAATTAAGCTAGACAGTGGCTCCAAGACTTGATGCTCTCTCTGGTTGACTGTCTAATGTTTCCAGTTGACTTGTTCTAAAAGGAGAATATTGTAAAAAGATCCATGTAGAAGACAGGGTAATGAAGAAACAGCATTGTTCTTGCAGCATAGAGCTAGTCAGGTAAGAAAAGAAAAATGAAGCTCAGGCTGTTAGATGCAAAATGTGATAGACAGAGCTCATAACATTACCCTAAACTCTGACAGCATCCAGAATCGGCTTCCAGACATTTTAGTAATACTACACAGTAGATATGTTGTGAATGGAGCTGTTTTTACCTCAACCTGTAATCTCACAAACAACTGTAGGTAGAGAATGATGTTTTCTTTGGTTGTGGAACTGATGCTTGGTTACTATTGTAGGTAGTAATCTAGTAGCTTGTGTAGTAGTTTAGCATATAAATTGATGTACTGTACTGTATTGATGTATTGCAAATGGTAGTGTATTCACATGTATTCACAAGCATTTACTATAAGTCACTTTGGATAAAGAGTCAACTAACTGTATGTAATGCAGCTGGACTATTGCAGCTTACTATTGCTGCTAACTATTGCATCTTATGTTAGACACACTGTTCTTTATACTTTTGCTTTTGTTTAGTAAAGGCAAAAAAAATCCTTGTTGTTTGTTTTTAATGTAGCATATTATTGGTGCTATTCAATATTAAACCGACAAGTTAATTCAACAAACACTGTAAAACTACAACCCCTCTATCTGCACACTCTGCTACTCATAAAACCCAAATATGTCCATGTCACAACGCCGCCTTTGCTAAGTCTTTGATACTGAAAACCTTCAATGCCTCTTGATACGTTAAGACTGGGACTCCTCATCAAAGCAATACTGACAACTAACAATCTTTTTTGCTCACTGTATGTCAGCTCTGCCCTGTCTGATGAACCATTTAACACAGCTAGACAGCCAAACCTGTCCCCAGAAAAGGACTTTAATGACTGCTAGGAACAATCCATCGCCTCTCCTAGCTTAGAAACTGATCCTGAATAAAACAGACACCCAACCAATGCCCATGCTCACACACGCAGACAAACTGCAAAATAAAATGTGTCAGTTGAACAGAAGAACTGGCATCTGGAAATTTCAGTAAGTGCACAAGTAAGATCTCTGATAATGAAAAGTATTAACAATGAGCCAAGGGCCACAGCTGTGAAATGAGTCCCATTGTAATTGTGGGCAGCGGAGAGCATGTGTTCGATGGCTCTTTGATGACTAAAATATGTAAAGAGACCAGATCAAAGGTGACTGGAGTCTCTTTCTTGTTTCAGCTGACTGTTTTTTTCAGGGTCAGTAGGATATTCATAAGCAGCAGCCACCCAAGCAATGACAGGGAATGATCAAACAAGTGCCATAGACTCTCCCAAAGACACACAAACACACACACACACACACACACACACACACACACACACACACACACACACACACACACACACAAACACACACACAGTACATTCAGGAAGCAAGACACGCACATGACTATGGTAAATTGAAGAAGAACTTCCCACAAGTGAGTCTTGAGTCTCGAGTGAGCCCTCCCTAATGTTTGTCATATCCCTTCCCTCTTTTCTCCCCTCATCTTTGACAACGGAAACAACACACACACACACACACACAAGGGGAAATGTGCTGTGACAACACACACACACACACACACACACACACACACACACACAAACACACAGGGCAACACATTCATCAAGACGACATGGGCAGATTGTCAGTGACACTCTGGAGCCTAGCAGGGAACCTCCCTGCACCAGCAACAGGGGTGGGCAGAAGAGAAAGCCAGTCAGCCATGTAGAAGCCCTTGGTCAATTATATAAGACAGTGATTCATACACACACACAGACACACACAGACACACACAGACACACATGCACGCCAGCAAATCAAAAACAGGCAAGAACTACAAGTCTCCATGCTGCCTTGCAGAGCTGTGCTGTGGTGATAGAAAATCAGAACGTTCCCCCTTAGAAATATCATTAAAGCTCCTTCTTCACTTTTTAATACCAGACTCTGCCTCTAAAGCACATATACACTTGACAAATGTTTAACTAATCTGGCTTCATTAGGAATGTACAGAAAATTAAGTGAAATCAGAGTACATACAACTTCATTTCTGGTGTGGAGGCACCCCATTCAGATGACACAATCTTCGGTTTACTGTCAAACTCTGAAGGAGGATACTATTTCTTCCTCTTTCTCTTCCCTGATTACGATTACTGAGTCACTACAGAGCTGAGTTAAGCATATGCATTGTATGAGATTAGAGTGGAGAAGGGGGTGGCGGCGGCGGCAAGGGAGCCACATTTAAGAAATATCTTCCGATTGGTCAGATGACGGAAGATTGTAGGACTAGCTACACAATCACACACAAACAGAGTCAAGTGTGTGAATGTCAAAATGCTAATTTCTCTGTTTAATTTTTTTCTATGAAGGGACAACCCAAATGTACTCATGGACACAGACGTGACACACACACACACACACACACACACACACACACACACACAGACAGACATCCTCTAAATCCCCATTAGGGTTTACTGAAGTTTATTTAATCTCATTGGAGGACTTGAGCAGTGCCAGTCTAATCCTAGCATTAGCACTAGGCATCTGGAGAATGGAGACTCCTGCTTTTTCTCTTCACCCTGCTGTTTTACCTTATGTGACGGTATGTCGGTGGTGATGTGGTCTACGTCAACCTCCTCCATCTCCCCCATCTTCAGACGACTCACCACCACTGTTCCTGCTGTGCACACACCATCAGATGACCTAGAGGGACACAGGAAGAGAGTTACATAGCGTTAGTCTCGTCGTTTAATCTGTTGGAAAAAAGTACGTTCTGTTAAATTATCTTTTCCTCTGACTATTAGCCCTCCATAGACCTGAAAAATAAACATCTCCATGTTGCCCCCCCCCAACTCTCCAAAACTAATAAGCTTATTTCCAGCCTTGAACAGGTTGTGAAATCATAAAGCTGTTTGACTAAAAAGTGGAATCAGGACATAGACGCTTGGACTGCGGCGATTCCTTTTTCTGACAGATTTTGCAGCAGAGTGTGCATGCTGAATAAAGCCGAGCCTGCTCCAGTGGGAGGATGGTGGGTTTGAAGGAAGGAACATTTCGTATAACTGTTCAAATGGCTGTCTAATAACCTAGGCTATGTGCCCTGACAGACACGAAATTGATACTAGAGTTTTCATATCAGGGAGCCCGACCAATCACTTTCCCAATCATAGGTCCATGATTAAGGAGCTGATAGAAAATCTATAGTATTGGCAGCAAGACAGACGCTGAACAAATGAAGAAAAATAGTCCCTGGGCATCGCACGAGCAAGATGATCACCTTAACAGACCCATCCCTAATGTGCTCAGTTCCACTCCAGCTGGAGAAAATATTGGATGTTGTGTGCCAGCCAATGGTCTTGGGAGACAGGGGGGGAAGGATGACACACCCCTGACTGAGTAGGAGAAAGCGCAAGGATAGTGATAGAAGCAGAAAGGATGCTTTCAAGGCCAATCCATCTTGGTCAGACTCGAGGGAAAAAATCTAATCGCACCTAAGGGAAAAGAGGAAAGGGGAGAAGAGATGCAGAAGAGAGGCAGGGGGGGATGTTAGGGACTACAGGAGAAGAGGATTGGGATACCAAGGAGGAGGATGGAGGGAAAAGTGTCTCTGCGGTGGGACACTGGGAGCATCAGTTAGCGCTTAATGTCTTGCAGCAGTCCCCAAGCAGAGAAAATAACATTGGTTGGTTTATAAATCTAATCATTGTCCCTTGCCAGACACCTGTCTCAGTGTTTACTCCTCTGCTCATCTTTCTGTTTCCCCCCATTCCTCATCATCTCTCTCTCTCCCCTTCTTTTCCCTGTGCAACACAGAAGACTAAAGCATGGTAAAAGAAAGTCACCCTGACATTGAACAAACGGTATGTACCGACAGTGGCCCGCAAATAATCGAGGAAATGGAGATTAACATGCATCACATTCAATGATAGTCCTCCGTAGGCAAACCTTAGGGGTTACAGTGCCCCTCTACTCTTTAGATTACTCTGCTTCAATCCACTAATGAATCTCTCCATTTAAACAGACAGAGGAGACTTTGTTAGAATTGCTTTAAGATAATTGGTTTATGCCTTTGAGAGATATATTGTGATTTTTTTGATTTGCGGCCAAATGTACCATAAACTCAGCACCTGTTCAAATACAATCTTTATACATTATTGTCTGTGAGGAAAAGAAGTCTTCAGCAGCTCATTCTAGTGATTTAATTTTGTTCCATCTCCACATTACTGGTTTGCTGTGCAAATTCTGCTAAAACCAAGCCAAAAAAAGGGCAGAGACGTCCACTTTCTGACAGAACGTCTGGTTTGCGGTGACACAAACTTTTTTTTGCAAACTACAGTATTTAAGCAAGCACACTAACTGACCTCGAATTAACTTTCAAGGCTCTGATGAGAGCTGTGCATGAAAAAGAAGCCGATCTCTCTCCCACATCCCTTCCTCCTCCACCACCCCTCTCTTTCCGTCTGTTAGAGCTGGCATGGAAACAAATCTGCAGATTGTTCTTTGCCTGGGAGCCCATCCCTTTTTAAATCTAATTGGCCCAGGATCTCTTTTATGACAACACTTAATCAGACGGCTTTGTTAAAGTGACAAAAATAATGTGCTTAAAATGTCTGCTACGAATTCGGCACAATTCAAAAAATAATTAGTTATCAGGGAAGTGGCTTCCATTTAACAGTTATTTTCTTTTGAAAGCTATTCTTTGCAATTTACAAACTCATTTTCCAATGTAGGAACATACAGTGTAATTTGTTTCAAATAACTGATCTGTACCCTGCCGGTCCAACAGGCTTGGGATGTATGAGCTGTACACGTTAAGTACGTATACACGGTATTATAGAGCAACTGCTCAAATGTGAGTCTATAAATTATCCATATAAAGTAAAAGTCTCCTGCTGAATAGAACATACGTTTACTTCTTCTGAATAAAAGATTCAATACAAAAATGTATAGAAAATTCAGTATATTATCTACTAAGGATCCCCAAAATAAATGTTTACGGTTAAACTGGAACTTTTCCTACTTCCTTCAAAGGATCAATGATTAGTAGTCTTCACTGCAGGTGCTGCTGTATTATGCTTCCTTAGCTGTGATGAATTTTATTGAAAATACACGAGCTAGAAAATTCAATTTGCCAAATAAAAATTAACTGCACTGTCTATTTCAAACCATGACAACAGACAAATTAAGTGACACTCACTCAGTTTGTCTCTACAACAATGACTTTAAATGTCTTTATAACTTTATGTCACATTGCAGTGCATTTCAGGTCCAAAAGGAACCTGCCAACTGTTACAATGAGGATGAGTGTACTCAATTAAATGAGAAACAGATATCCACCCAGGCAAGACCCCAGATGAAAATGTCTGCTAACTGTGGCAGATTATGTGAATTAAACATTTTTAAGACAAACGAGTCATACCTAAAACCACCACACACCAACAGGAATGAAAATCATTTTCCCAGTTTGAGTAAACATATCCAGTAGAAACCTGAGCACTGTAGTTTGTTTGCGGTTTTCTACTATATAACAATTATCATTAGTAGTATTTTCCCTTATTACTGTAAACACTACCATTGCTACTGTTATTATATGCGTGTTTGGTGGTTAGATGGCAGACACAAATGGTGAAGGTCACTATTTGTGATGTTTTGTTTGGTGAAATGAGCGGTTATACTGTGGTGTACAGCACAGCAGTGGTCTGTGCAAAATGTGATGATACAGTAGGTAATAATCAGGAGTGGTTCTGTCTTTGTCTGTAAATACAACCACATACTTGTTTTTTCCTCAACTTGTTTTTCTCTGAGCAGAGTGGAAGTGGTAAAGGTAGTAAAGGTCTGTACATAACCATAATCAATATGTACAGACCTTTATTACCGTTACCACTTCTTGGGAAGTTAAGGCCAGTCAAATGGCAAAGAAAAATAACTCCAAGAATGAAAGCGCCCAAGCAAATGTTCTTTTTTGCTGCCTTATGAACCTAAAGAATTACAGAGTGACGCCGAGGAAAGGACAATTGTACAACATTTTCAAAGGTCTAAATTTAACAGCCTGTGGGTGGGGAAAGTTGATCAAAAAACTTCAAAGCAGCAATACTTCTGTGGCTGTCAGGCGCTTTTCTCTGTGGGAAGCCTCACAGAGGAAAACACCTGACAGCCACAGAAATGAAGCAAAACACCATTGGCTTTTCCCCTCACTTCAACTGTAGGACACTAAAAATACACACTATTTTGCTTTTTGCTCTGGATTTTGCCCACAGGAGATTTGGTTTAGGAGTCCTTCAGGTCTTATCAACACTGTATGTTGCCTGTCGAATGGGAGTGGTCAGAGAAAACTAACTAATCCTGCCAGGACAGGCAAAAAGAATGCTACAGCCTTGAAGTGTAGCAGTGGAAGTGTTGATGGGATTCTTGACCTATATAAAGCTGGACGGGTGGGCTAAATATAGCGCTGGCTAGTTTTCACTGAGGACAGATGTTAGGACATGGGACTCTAATAATGGGGAATGCCAAGCTTAAGAAGTGATACAGAGAGTCTTGATTTTCATTGGGGATGAATGGCATTATCATGTGACTCAGCAGCAATTGCACATTTTGAGACTAGAAGACTGACTCAATCAATAAGATTACACTGCGGGCATTGTTCATTGAGCTGGCCCGAATCACCAGGGGACACTAAACTGAGCACACACTCTCCGGCTTGTCTGGACCACTTGAAGTATATTCCCAAAGAAAAAACTGCCCTGGTTTCCTCTTGATGAAAGAGACTTTCACTATGTTTATATGTATATTCAGTTTGAATCTGAAATTAATGCAAAATAAATACGCAATGTATCTTGAATTAAAGTTTCGTAAAAAATCAGTTTGATACTGAAACAGTAGTCGATTTTAGTGGCAGTGGTATGTACGGACTTTTTATGCTTGAAAGGTTGAGCACGTCTCCAATTTTCAATCAAAACAAGCTGATTTATCCAGAACACACCATTGGGATCAATCTCGACAACATGCAAATTTATGCAATTTATAAAAATCAGTTTGTCTGTTGCAATACATCTGTAATAAGCAGAATAGGAGCTATGTCAGGGCAAGACGCATGGTTGCACAAGATTTGTGAGTTTCAACGCATCCTATTTGTTCCAGTTCCATCACACAAACTACTGTATTTTTGCATGACGAGAACTGTCTTCACACTACATTTACTTTTATGTTAGTGCTTAACCAGTGTCAGAAACAGTCTGGGGATAAGCTGTTTTCACAGAAGATGCAAGGTGGAAAAAACGAAGCAGAAAGGATATTTCTTTAAGCAATCACATCAATCCAGGCTGGGGCTCAAAACTACCTGCTGGATGATTGTCATGTGCAAATTCTATATATTCTCTCTCTAGAAAGTCAGTATGTTTCCAATACGATAATGAATTATAATGTAAATCAGGAGTCTCAAACTCAAATTGCCTTGGAGCCACTGATGGCACTGTCATCTCATAGGAGGGCCACTTCAGCGTTCACGTACTACAAGAAAGTGCAATATTCTG